TATATATATATATATATATATATATATATATATATATATATATTTCTATTTTCATCATTTCGCTTTGAAAAGAAGAAATTGAAAAGAAATCTTTTGAAGACTAAAAAATCTGAAATGACTTTAGTCGAAATATTAATATGAATAAACTGCTTTAAATGTTCAACTCGATTCCAACTTTGAAACTTGGTCCAAAGCATTGACAATGCATTATTTCTGGCTTCTATCGGTTACTGCTCATTAAATATGACGAATACAAAATTGAACATTGTTACTGTCTAAAAGTTAATTGGATTGCTTCGTGTATTGTTGAATAATTTTAATAATTGGGTCTGTTAGAAATTTGCGGTTCTTGTAACGAAACATTAACAATTATCAATACCAGATATTTTCCGAAGCGCAAAACTTTGAAAGTTTTCAGTAACCAAAGAATGATGGTGATGGGACCGATAATAAGTCCTGCTCACGAAAATAAAGGTATTCTCTCTGTAATCATCTGATTTCAGTTCAAAATTATTAATTTTAACAACGATTTTGTATCGGAATATTTGTTCTAAGCTCTGACTAAACATAGATATTGTAATCAATTAAGCTGTTTGAAAAGCTTTGAATAGTATTTTTTGTCAGTTTAGTTGTTGATAAAGCAAAAAAATGCAATTTTGCACACTAGAATACGAAATTACTGTTATTATGAGTTGGAAAATTTGTGCCAGTATTTGAAATTTTTGATAGGTTAGCAAAAAATTATATGTTCAATAAAAAAAAGATTACATGGCAATGAAAGATACAGCTCTTTGCTGATCAGAAAATTGAAAGAATATGTAATACTTTCAGGAGAGAGGTTCGTTTCTGAGTTACTTTCGCTGTGACTTTTCTTGTTGTTTATTAGTTTTCGATCTTACCTTTTGGTTGAAATTCTTCTTTTCTATATAAAATTAACGTTCTTTAATTGTCGGAAAATCTGATTACTAATTTATCTTACCAAAGCGTTATATCTGATAACCTATCCGAACCTATTTTACCCAACTGTAATTTCACAAAAAAAATTTAAAAAACTACTCGTTTATTTTGCCATTCTTATATAAAACAAATTAGAATTCACAAACATTCTTAAATGACAAGGATTTGTGACACTTCGCTTAGTATAGTTTATTAATTAAGTAGATTAAATGCGTGTGATTTATATTCACGCTTCATTAACTTCTCATAACGTCAAAAAATGTTATAGCAATTAGTTTGTAAAACTTCAAACTTGATTGATAGCTTGAGAAATTGCAATTTTTTGCTAAAGAATCAATGGAATTACGCAAAAATTAGATTTGTAAGGGCTAACGAAAAAACTTTGCTCTTCGAGTGAAAAATTCTTCTCGTATTTTATAATTTAATTATATTTGTTGCTGTTGATTCCATTCTTCTAAGGTGTCTCACAAATGAGTAGTGAGAGCTGTGAAGAAGTTGAAATTTCTGACAATTTGAACGTGTACAAGACCAAAGAGACTCAGACTCAAACTTCATTTTCTGATGATGGAAAGCAGCAAACTATTGCTTATTTCAGCAAATTCGTAATCACTTTGTAAGTTTCAACTTGCTGAATTGAACTTATTTTATTCCATGATTTCAATGCCTTACTTTTCTTTTCTGGACAGATATTTTTATAGACAAATAGTATAAAAATAAGACTTTAATTTCGTGCTCAGTGACGAGAATTTACGATTTAATTGTCCGAAATCATTGACATAATCAAAATAATGTTTCTTGTTATACAAGTTAATCATTTGCTAACTTATAGGTTTTCTATACTAATTTGTATACAATTATTTACATTGCTGAGTGTTTCATACATGTCAAATAATCAGCGCACTTCCAATTGCGATGCAAATCTGGCTTCCATTAATGCTTTACACAGGTAAGTTTCTGTTTTTGATTTAAAAATTATTGACTGAAAAATTGGTACTTTTTTGCTCAGTGCAATTCTAATTTTCTTATTTTTGATAAAATACTTATACTTTAAAAAGTACTACAAGATAATTAAAAAAATATTACAGGAATGAAGCACTACTGAATCTACGACATTTCAGTCAACGTCAAATGGCGAATGAAAATATTTTCAAAACTGAATTGTAACTTTCTATGAGGTTTTTCACTTGAAACTGTCATTATGCCAAACCAAAAAAAACTTATAAATAATATTTGACCTCTAAAAGCTAAATATTGTTTTCCGCAAAAATTTTATACATAAATCATTGAATTATTAGTAAATTCGATGTATTTAAAAATTTTTAAGACTGTTTTTTGTCAGGAAAAACTAAACAATTTTGACTTCACTCATAATGCTATGCTTAGCCTCCTTCATCCCACTGGTATTATCACTACGCTTTCAATTTGCTTTTGATAATTTGCTTTGGAAGAGATTGACATATCCGTCATTGCATTTAACATCATTAAAAATTGCGATCCGAAGAATCAGAATGAATCACAATGCGCTCTTATTCACTACAAAAGCTGTTCGATTCAGAAATGAATTCATTAACAGCTTCTTGCTGGAATTAGTAGATTACAAGTTAGTAAGCTAAAAACAAATTAGTAATTGACTTTTATGTAAGGCGTTGCCTGCAATGGTAAATCAGTTATGCAATATCATTTTTTCTTCAAGTATCCTACTTGGAAATTTAGCACTACCTATTCCACATTTGTTGCTGCTAAAAGTTAAGATGCTTAGAAGATTGAAAAACAAGGGAGTAATTTCCGTTTTTTTTCAATTTTCAGAAGAAAAATTCAAAAAATGCACTTGTTCTGAGTTTTTTATTCAGAAGTGAATTTCAACAAAACAATGGAAATAAATATTAGAGCAAAACAGCGAAAATGCAAAACCAACAGAAGGTATTGTCAGTGGCATACTTTTTCGCAAAATGCCATATTTCAATTTCAATTGACAACTAAATTTTCGTGTAAAAATCATCAAAAAAAATTAGCACTTAATTTAATAAAGATATGTAATTTTGTATTCAAAGGCAATCGTATGAAGTCTTTAGAAGTAATTTCGTTTAGTGATTTTAAAAAAGAAAAATTAGATTCCAAAAGCTTTTGCATTTGAATTCCTATATAAATAAAAAGACATTGTTTTTTGTTTAAAAGAAGAGTAAGTGAATTTGCATCAAATAGTACATAAAAAAATAGTGCGTAGCGCTGAAAAACAAATTAATAACGTGGTTTAACTGTATCGTCCGATTCACTGACAATCATTGTGTGTGTACATTGAGATCATCTGATGATACAAGTCCAGAGTCAAAGCACTGATCAGGTTCCGGCAAAACAAAATCGTTCTTAATTATGACGCGCCTTTCTTCTAAGTAAAATGAACCTTGCAAATAATTTCAGAGAAAGTAGAACTTGAAGAATGTTTTTTCAACTTAGTTCAAATTCTTAATCACAGCCTGTCGTATACAATCTTTAGAAACAATTATGCCTAGTGATTTCACAAAAGAAAAGTTAGGCCCAAAAAATTTTTGCATTTGAATCCTAACATGAAGGAATAAGATAAGTTAAAAAGGGTCATCAAATTTAATAACCTTAACCAGAGATTCTTGAAGTTTCAAGGGTACTAATAAAGCAATGCCTATGCTTTAAAACTTTTAAATAAAAAGTCAGTGACTTACTTTCTTTATCACTGAGCAAAGACTTAGTTTCTTGACTTGTTGATTTGCCTGAAATAGGACAGACAGAATTTTGTCAAGAATCAATCAACCACGCTTATAAATACTATAAAAAGTAGCTTCAGAACTGAACTGCTTACATTATTCAATTATTAAGATCAGAATAAATTTGTTTTTGAATTTTTCTGACTTTAAATGACACGAAAAACAAACAGTGACCTGTAACTACCAAAGAACTTTTGGCAGGCATCGATTTTTGGCTTTTTTTCTGCAGTAGACAAATTGCTATGATAATAGCTACAGTACAACATGCAATCACTAATATCGCCAGCACTATCATCCACCCTAAAATGCCATTTATTTGTCTTCAATTAAAAAAAAATGAAATAAAGTAAAAAGAACTACAACTTTTCATTTTTCTTTATATTTTCTTACAGTATCTTCCCAAATCTGATTGAGCTTTTTAGAATTGCTACAAACTGAAGGATGATAAATGCTCAGATTCTTATAGGCATTAATATTGCGATGAATGAAAGTCATATATAAATGAACCTTTCTTTTACAATTTCTTCATGTACTACTGTAAATTGAAGTACAGTTTAAAAAAATATAATAATAAACTATAAAATGTGAATTTTATTACATTCAAGTTTCCTGGTTTCAGTATCACCTTTCCATTCTGGAATTGGTCGTTCGTATGGTTCTGAGACGAATGGGGAATCCCAAAGTGGTGGAGTAACTGTGCTTATTATTGCTGTAAAAGAACAAAACTCTGATTACATTTCCACATTTAGAAATACTCACAATTTTCAAATAAATTTTTTTCAAGGCATAAATGATAGATTGTTGCATCTTCAGTCATTTGCAAACCTTTTACAATGGATGTGCTTGTGTGCATTTGTGTTAAAATTCATTTATAATGACAAGCTATTTATAATACATTCTCGAAATACACTCTGGTTTTGAGATTATGCTAAATTATGATAAATTTCTCAGGAGGACTACCATTCCTGTACAAAAGCAAGTGACGTTAAAAAGCCCATTTGTAAGTACATACAGGCAAAAAGCATTTAATTTATGATATAGTGAATTAGAAGTTTCTGAGCAAGAAAATTTACATGGAAAAGTTCCTGGAATCAGAAACGAACTACATACACCTAGTTGCAACTCATCGCCAATAACTTTGGTCGACTGAGCAAATTCCATTTCGGGCTTCCTGAGATACAGAATGGGACTGAAGTGCATTCGTGCAATACTCGTATCAATTTCAATGTCTGAAAGTCATACGAATCTTATTACTGTTAAGATGAGCATAGGAATTGAAGTAAGATGACAACAATTACAGTAAACAGGTAGTATGCGATAAATTATTTTCTATCCATTTATCTTTTTTCAATTTGATGAGATGAATAGATGAAAAGAAAGGTCTTAGAAGACCAGCAACAGAACACTTTTGAGGTATCTATAAGGCCTTTGAGCAGAATAATTTATATGACAATGTCCCTCTGATCAGAAACAAGAGTGATTATGGTAAAGTATTGGATTGAGCAGTTGCAGTTCTTGAAAATTTTATTTTTTGACATAAGGCTCAGTTATTATGCATCTGAGGCGCGCGCATTCTATCATTATTCAAAACTTTTATGAGTAGTTCTAAAAATTGAAATTTGGAATTTTTTAGTGCTAATAAAAATCATTCTTACTTTAGGAATAACTTAAGCCTTATTAATTTACTCACTTGATATGCAACCAGTATAGTTGTATCTTGCTGATAACTTATCATAGTCATTAGCATTTATAACATTTGTTCCTCCAAAGAAAAATTTAGAAATATGTGCAAATGAAAATTCAGTGAGATCAGAAGGAAAATCGAAGTTGACTGAATCAATCTGCAAGTTAAAAGCAGTTTATTTTTTCATTCTCTTGAAATTTTATCTATAAGGCAAAAAAGTTAATCTCAATAGTCATATTAGAGCCTAAGCTCGTTTTGTGACTCGAATAATGAAGCAGCATGATGTAGCAGTAATAAAGTTGATGCTGTTGAACTTGCCATGATTTTCAAGAATTTATTAGTCTGCAATCTCAAATGAAAGTAGTGTCGATAGCCGTCATCGTAGTTAAACGGAAAGGTGTGGACAAATGATCTCTCACTTGAGATGAAGACAATATTTACAGAACCATTTCTGCACAAAATTATTTCAAATTTTCTGCAAAAGAAATTAATATTTAAAATTACATATATCGATAAGAGCCATACAATGACTTAGAGAAAACTTCTTGCATTTTTTGTATCAGAAAGTATTGAAAAACTTTAAAAAAAATTAAGAATAAGAAATTTAAAGGCTAAAAGTACTTGATAATTTAAGTATACAAGCATACATTTGGTGCTTAAAAATGATTGCAGCAATTGTTTGCGGTTTTGATTGCTTGTCAGATTTATCTGAACTTTTTGCAGAAAAAGCAAAACTGAATTTTTGTTCACCGAACTGATTCCAATCAAAAATCACTTTTTCAAATATCTCAGCCGTATTCATGACCAATATTGAACTTCCTTCGAAATGAGCTCCATAATCTAGCATAGAAATCAGTAGTGCTTCAACAAAATACTGATGCTATAAGGTCAAAAAGAAATAGATGCACAATTTGCGGCGTGCATCGGCGTGCATCTATTATTTTATGTTTTCTCAAATTAATTTATGTTTCAAAATTAATCAGTGCTAACCTTAGTCAGTACAGAACATAGCTAACAAAATATCAAGCATTGGGATATGAGTATAGTATCTTTCAAAAACTGACTTCCAAGCAGTGTGAATTGATGTTGAAAAAAGCTAATGATAAAAAATAAAGTATTAATATAATTAAAACGGATAATTTCAGAAAAAAACAATTTCATGAATATGATTTTATTTAAAAAATATCTCAGGCAAATATATTTCTTAGTTAACTAATTACAAAGTTAAACTTGGTCGTGGTTTTCACTCCAAGAGATACCGATTACTTGAAAATGTTACCTTGATCACAGTATTCGCCAAAATATGATGTTCGATCACAATTACACATGACCTGATCACTAGCATTTTTTGATGTCCACTTTACAGCACAGTGACCGCCATTTTTGCACATATGTTCGATGGTACCACATCCCATTTTGCAATCAAACTTGATCATATCTTAATTATTGAAACTATATCTTTGCAAATGTTCGGAAAATAAAGCTGGCTTTACAATCTTTGCAGTAATGAAATGGATATTAGCTAGCCCACAAATTTCCTTCATCCATTTGATTTGCATCATGTCTTATTTCGAATTATAATAACAGAAACCACAGAAACCATTAAAAATAATCCCTTCATTTTTCCATCTATATTATAAGCTCATAACTGAACAAGGGACTGAGAAAGATCCGAGAAGTTCTAGCAGTAGAAGAGGGTTTGCATGGCTCTACTCAATCCCTTTCGTACTTCAACATTAATAAGACTTCATATAGCTTAAAACGCTTCCAGCTTTAGCCATAATTGTTAGATTATAAGACACTTTCTTTCGTTCAATAAGGTTACAGCCAAAAGTTTTATGGCTATTGCTCTATGCTTTAATAAAAGATTGAGAATAAAAGTATAATAAATTCTGAACTTAAAAATCACATAGCATTGAAATGTTTAGGGTGAGAGTGTAAACCTGTAACTATTACTTTTTGCAAAAAAATATGTCATTTTTATTACTCTAAAATAAATGCAATATTAATTAGATTAAGAATTTTTATGTGCGCCAAGAGAAGATTGCTAATCGGTCCTTATACAACTAAAATGCTGAAGTCAACTTGTTCTTCTTCTTTGAATTGATCTGTACGTTTAGGTATTTAAATTTGTACCTGAATCACTAGGATAATATGACCAGTAACTTTTGTTACGCATATCAATTAGCACTTCTCCAAGCATTAAACCTCGCATACAACCGAGTAAATTGGGGATACTGGACTGATAAATGGGATCCATTGTGCCGAGATGGTTTTCATTTGGAATTCCAGCAATAAAGAGTAAAACGTATGGATGACTGTACTCAGTTTCTTGTTCGGTTACGGGAGAAACAGGCGGTTGAACGAGATCTACAACTATGATCTTGCTTCAAAGAACAGAGAACTTTCAGAATCACAAACTGTTAGTAAAAAGTTAATAATAGATCTGTATTTTTTTTTGCCATATTAAAGTGCATACATGATTCTGTTTCTTAATACAATATTTTATTTTTGAAATTTCTCAGAATTTCCAAAATCCACAATGATTTTAAAAGAAGATTACCATCAACATCACGAGCAAGTTCAAACTTTCTGATAAATTCGTTAGAGAGAGTCCGCTGACCGATAATTTGACAAATCACTTCGTCAACGTTGAACTCAATTACATGAGACATTTGAAAGATCATTACTTGTATCCATTTCATTCTACTAAATTCTGAAAATGAACATAGAAGATTCCGTTCTAATGAAATATATTAAATTTCATATCAATCTATAATCACTAAAATTTCTTTATTCAATGAATTCTCGTCGCATAAATAAGTGACCCCTCACACCACACTAATTTTCTTTCCTTTCAGAACTTCAGTTCCACTTGAAAAATTGTTCAAAAAGTTTTTAAAGTATTTGCAGTTCAAAACAATATTAAATAGCTTCTGTTGTCTGATTTTTGAAGCTACAAACTAATCACTGTTTACAATCCACTTACCGTATCCTACTTTAGCCATGACCTCACATCTTCTTATAGTCTGATTGAAATTGAGTGTTAGGATCACACGAGAGTAATCAAGTAAGTGTACCTAATTCAATATTGATTAATAAGAAAGGCGTAAAAAAATGTTTGACAGAAAATTTAATAATATGCAAAATATTCTTCTGAATAATTAGATGATTAATGCACAAAATACATTGAAGTGCTTCAAAGAGTTAATTAATATTGTAAGCACTTTTTATTTTTTCTTTTTTTTCAATAAAAAAAATTGCGAACTTGTATAAAATTATAGAATTGATCATGAAGATAAAAGAGCAGAGCATCACGTTGATCTGTACGGAAACTGAATATTATCCGTTGCATTAATGCATCTTCAACAGCCAAATTTTGTGCCTTCAGAAATGCTTGGTTGGCATGGCGAAAACTCAGCTCAGTTCCGAAGTTAGCATCTTAAAAACTCTTTGATCATTTAACTTTGATATGTAATCAAGTATTTTGTCACTGTGTAACGAAAAAGAAAATTTATTATCATGTCACTGATTGAGAGACTTCAGATTCTAAAAAAAGACTTCAGTTACAAAGATGCTATCGCAAACAGATGAAATAAGGCATTTGAAAGCAATATAGCAGCAATAAGCAAGAAGTAAAGTTGCATGTAGCTAAATTTTCTTAATTTTTTAATGCTTGAGTGCTAGCAATGAATTTTGCATATTACCAGAGATTACTAATTTGATTTAAATTCTTGACAATTTGTTACACGCATGATAATAGAATATACAAATGGTAAAAAATTGCAAGCTATGTATAATATTATGATAAATCCAACACTCTTTCGAACCTCATTTTTTATGAAGACAATTGCGTAGTACAAATTTTGTAGACGCAGTGAAGGACTCTATTTTTTGTAATTTTAAATTTTGGAATCCATCTATGTCTTGCTGCTGATAGAGACAAAATCTAAGGCTTAAATAAGTATTAAAGTATGGAAAAATCTAGACTAAGACCAAACAGCCAGAAGAAATAATTCATTTTAACAATGCTTTTTGCATCTACGGATATATTTCTGGCTTCATGGAATCTGTTTGATGATACGATCAAAAAATACATTACAGGAAATGTTATTAAAGAAATATTCTCCTTGGACAATGCAATAGCTTACTGAATTGGCATAAATCTCCGGAATAGATGATGGAATTTTTACAGACACATCGTATTGTATCTGAGGTGAAATCTTCTTCGCACTGACTTTCGTGTTGGCAGTTATGTGATTCACATCGATTGAAACAATTACCTTGTAACTTCTGATTCACCTCTTGCAGAATGTCATTCAGAAGTATTTGTCGGACGCAACCCAAGAAGCCATCACGATCGCTAACAATCAAAAAATGGATTGAAAATGAAAAGACCATTTCAAGCCTGTATTATTGTCAGGAATCAAGACTTAAATAAGCATTGCCCAGATCAGCTTGCTTTACATGCTATTTTCAGAATAGTTGGCTGAAAATTGCTTTTTGCGCTAATTCAACTTGACCACTGTAACAGCTTCAATCAGCATATTTTGATAGCAAACGCGTGTTTGATAAAACTTCATCCGATATTTTTTTTTGGTGCATATTTTACATTAAAATTCCAAAATTATAAATACTCACCCACCAATCCTCAATCGAATTATACCGAATGAATTTTGTGCAAATGTTGTCGTTACGACGGTATCATCTACTGAAAATAAAATCGAACCCCCAAGGATATTCACAACAACACGATGCCAATGTCCATCATTTTTTCTGGAATGAACGTTATTTTCCGAGAGATCCAAGAAATTGAATTATCTCAAGAAAAAGTTAACTTTCTTCCTTGATAATTAGAACTTTTGCTTAACAGTGAAAGCTCCAGTCTATAATTACTAAAAATGTAAATTCCAACTTTTTAAATGTCAATTTTTGATTGCAACAGCTCGTAGAACTTTTTTACAACAGTAATGATAACTTCTTATTATTATTTCTTAGTTTACACTTTCAATGTTGAAATAAATGGAAAACAAGAGAAAATTGCTCAAAATTGAAAGTGGTCATCCAAGTTCTCCATCAACGTTTTTCTCCTTAACCCCATTTTTTCTAACCATTAAATTTCTGTCAGGTTCATGAAGACAATATCAGAGATTGGGAAAGAGGGAATTTAAGGATATGAAAGCCTGTTTTTCGGAAACGAACCTTGATTGCGGAAACAGATCCAAGCTGAACCCGTTGTCGAAAAACAAATGAAATGTCCGTTCAGTCATTGTTATGACTATCTTTCCATTATCAGATGAAAGTAAGCAAGCATTTTCTAAAAAGGTCCGGAATTCAAAGCTTATTCTGTCACCTCTCCATGAGCCAATTTCAACTGGACTAAACTGATCTCGAATAACTAATGTGTGCTGCGCTGAATAGCCAACTGAAAATGCTATTTCAAAATCAAATAACCAAATTTTGCTAACAATGGTAGGAAAAAACCACTAATATTTAGTATAAAATAAATGAAAATTGGTGATAAGTCACAGTATTGACTGACCATTTCCTGAACACACAAGTGGACCGAGAGTGAGATATCCTTTGTTATCAGAAGGGTCATTTAGGGCATACACATTTTGAACTGGGACTTGAAAACCTGTCAATACACCATAATCGATGGCGATACCTCCTTTATCACAATTGCATTCTGAAACATAAATTTAACAATGATTTATGATTGCGTGAATATTGAATAATAACTGGATTTCTGTCAAATTCTGAGCAGTAATAGTTTTCGTATGATTTCAATGCAGCTAATGCTTGATTTATTGTCGCTTGAAAGGTTAATTTAAGCAGTAACTAGATTACATTTGGAACAGAGCTAAATTTATTCCTTCTGTATTTAGTTGTATTCATAATTCTAAGATAGTTTATCCTATTATGAATTTTTATATATGCAAGGATTTCTTTTCTTTATCTGCTAGGGCTCAAATTTCTTAAAATACTTTGAAAGTTGAAGTTAAAATTTAAAAAACTGATTTACTTGCGCACTTTCCATCTTTGCACAGGCAAGTACCATTTTGACTTCCGAATCCAAAATAAGACTCATGTGAAAGTGATGAAAACCAAGTTTTCATTACATTGAATCTAAAAGATTGTTTTTTATTAGTATTAAAATTTTGAATGTTTAACTAATTTAAATATATGCTTTTCATTTCTGTCCTCTAGGTTTCAAAAGTTCTGTCAACAAAAATGCTTCTTTCTGTATTAGAATAAAAAATCATTTTGTGATTGAGATAAGCAGTATTTTGCAAGATTAAGTAAAGCTTCTTACTCGAGAGGGGCTTCACGACAGAAGTATCGAACTGTTTGTGTACAAGATTCTGAGTGATTTTTCAAACTTTTCAGGAGTTCATCGTTAAACAATCTTTAAAAAAGTGAGGTAAGCCTTTACTTCTCTTTAAATTTGAAATTATATTTATGCATTTTAACTTACTTATAATTAATTATCATATGAATATCACCCAAACTACTGCTGCGAATCAAAGTATCATTGGGCATATTGTGTGATATGATAGTTTTTCCATTTTCACAATATGCATATGTTTCTGGTAATAAACCAGAGCTATCTGGATCAATTACGTATGTTCCGGGCATCGTGTTACCTTGACGGTATACTTCGTCACAATGCCGTGGTAAAAGAGCTGGAAATAAATCACTGCTACAGAATGAACAATTTAAAATTACAAGGATATAAAAATAAAATTTAATTTAGACTATTCAAAGAGTGGATATAAATCAAAAAAAGTACCAGGGACTTACAAAACTGGCAGTATTGTCCAGTAAAACCTTTGCGACACACACAGATTGGTACATCATTCTCTTTCACACATTCCACGAAATTTTCGCAACTTGTAGCTTCAAAATTTTCACACAACCGTCTCGCTGGTGCTTCTGTAGAACTTGGCAATTTATTTGCATTTCATAAAAATGAAATGCAATCTTTTTAATTGAATAATTTGAATTCATTTTTTTCAACACTTATTTCATCCAAATCTCCGTCTTTATTTCTCAGATATGCGTATGCAACTCTTGTTAATAAAGTATTCATGCAATTATTGAGCAGTCTAAAGTAATAACGTATATTTGTACAAATAATTTATCTTTATATTGTTGACTACCTGTAGTTATAATAGATAATCAAAAAGATCAAAAAAATTTTCTTGTCCAATTGACGTCCAAAAAAAAAATTTCAGAAGAGCAGAAAGTTTATGGAAAAAAATTTTAATTCCAAAAATTAAACGCACTAAAAAATTTGACATTTCCACTAAGAAATTCAAGACGTAATACCTGTTACAGCTTTGGTTTCAGAAGAGTTTTCCCCTGCCATTGTCGTCTTTTCATCAATTTGAAATTTCGTTAAAAAGTAAAAGATGTTACTATGTTTTCAAATTATCAAAAGCCAAATTTTAAATTATATATAATTTTGCAAAATAGCATTAGAAGGATAACTCTCAGTTCATAAAATTGTAGTAAGTCACCGACAACTCAGAAATATAAAGACTGGCAGTAATTATATACTTAAAAAGATTCGTTATTAGTAGTGAACGAACTGAGAATACTCAATCAAATTTGAGCAAATTTATGAAAATTTGAATATTTGTAAGAAAGAAGAAAACTATTCTATATTAGACTGGGCTCCTATATGGTTTTATGAATTTGATAATTATTACAAATAGAATTTAATTCCTCTAATCCCTATGTGCTAACAAAAGTAGTCATTTTCTCAACCGCAGCAGAGGTATCTAAGTTTTTGCTGTAATGCTTTGAACTTTCTGCTTCAGAATTGAACACTTTCATGTAACAAAAAGAATTTGTTTTAAGATTTTTGCTTGATTTATAAGTTTAGCATTCAATAGTTAATATAAGTACTTTTTCGATTATACTTTTCAAGTGTATTCCAATCTCTTCTTGAACATTTGTTAAGCCATTTTTTTTAGATTGGTCAGTTTGGCTTGATTTCTCATCTGATTCATGACCACCTTCATACATCTGTTCAAAGTTTTTCTCATCTGACATCAATTCCTGACCAACTGCAAGGTCAAAAGATGTCACGGAAAAAGAATCAGATTCATCGCACTGATCCAATGCTTGACTTGAACCCACCTAAGTTAAAATAATGATTTCTTGGTAGAAAAAATTCTTACGAAAGAAAAGATTTCAAAACTGATCTCTATATTATTTTTAATTCATAATAGATAAATTTTATACCTCATCTGAATTCTCCGAATATCCCTGAATCACATCAAAATAATCAACATAAATCTCTCGTAGGCATCCTGATAAGCCAACCTCAACATCTCCACCGCAGAAAAACAATTCATCACCCAATCTATCAACAGAGGTTGCAACATTGGAAAGTTTCAATTTTCTTATATAATTTATTAATTTGGTCTTTCAAATAAGTTAGCTGATTCAGAAGATAATGAGTTGAAATTTTCTAGCTTCATTAAAACTTTTTTCAAATGACAGAAAATGTCAAACAGAAATCAAATACAAGCTTGATGTATTTCACCTGATGTGGTACTCTTTGTCATTTTTGTTCCAACTTGTTGATTTTGTCTTGCCATTGAAATTCATATGAATTATATTCACACTGTATTCGAATCGCAGTGAAATGTGGTTAAATCTAATAAACAACAAAAGATAAATATAATTGTATGAAGGAATTAGAAATTGAGTATTAGTAAAAAGGTTTAAATAAAGTTTTCTGATTTTCATAGCAAACCAATTCAGTAAAAATTTTTAATCAAAATTACACGCAAAAAACCTCAAAATTTGTCTAAATTCAATAACTAGACATTTTTCCAGCACTGCTCGCATGGCACTATTTGCAGCCAATTCTATTACTTAAACAGCTAGACGTTGTAAACAAATGTTGACCAGCTTTAAACTTCTATTAACTTTTCAATTACATGCATTAATTTACGTTTAAAAATATTTATTTACCTTACTGTATAACTTCAGAATACAGCTATTCAAGCCCTACTTCAGAATACAACTATTCTAGCACTGCTTCTTACCTGTCTTTGTTTATTTCTATGTTGTCAAAATTGATTTCAGCCAAGTTAGCAATCGTTAAACGTAACTGACCATAAATAAGTGCTAACTTCAATTTACCCAGTGATATATTATTTTCAAGTGACTGGACCGTCCCATGCAAAATCAAGCCTTCACTGACTTCCGTCTAAAATAAAGTTTCTAGAAAGCTATGAATATGGTTGTTATCTATTATCTATCAAAAAACTTTTTTATCTGCAATAATTTCTTTTGTTCTTGTCAGGAAGAGACCTGATAAAAAAACAAAAACTATAAATCTCACTCATATAAATTGAAATAATGACTGAAAATCAGTAGCATATAGGATAACTGATAGGACTGCAAACACATTATTAACTATCATTTTATAATAATTTTTTTATGCCACAAAAATATATCTTAATAAATTAAGTAAACCTTAAAATCGATTGATATAATTGATGGCTGAGACCGATTATCACTGATTTTGTAAGAAATATATTGGTCCCAAGAAACATGCAATGTCTTTATGTCTGAAAAAGTGACTTTGCTCTTGATTTTCTTTCAAAGTTAAAGACTTATTAAAAATGAAAATTCAGAATTTAATGAAATAAAATAGATTCACTTTGAGCATTAAAAAATTTTGGATTTCAGCAAACCTTCAGTACAGTTTCTCCCAGATTTGTAAGTACCACGACAATCACATACAGCCATTTGGAACAGATCAACACACGTACCCTGGAAATTGAATCTCAGTTGCTGATTATGTAGTTCCCAAGAGTGGAAGCATGATGAAGAGTTAATTCGAAAGATTTGAATTTTTCAGTTAATCGAAGAAAATTTAAGTCAGATCAAACTCACCATGAATAGTGCTTATATGCAGAAATATTATTCGCATTAAATAACTTTATAAATTTCAGTCTTTTTTTTAATTTCTATAAAATTTGCAATAGAAATTTAACACTTTTGTTATTATAACAACAGCTAAAAAATTTTCTTTGCACAAGAATAAATAAACTACAGTGCCGAATTCTTGTTTTTATTCATTGAATTATAGATGCCAAAAGTTACAAAATAAATTATTACTTAGTCTTATGCTACTTATAATTTGTTTTTTGCATTGCTTTCAAGCGAATAAAACGGAAAATTGAATAAGTCTTGGCATTCCAGGAAATTTGCTTGTGATTAGAAACAAAAACTGTTCATTATTAGTTGTCAGCAATGACAGTAACAATCATGAAAAGGTACAAATAATTTACCATATTGCACTGATTTGCTGAACAAAGTGGATCACAACCATCTTTGATTGTGTCACTTCGTTCACTTTCTTCGAGTTCAAATACAAAACGATCTCCAATTGTTAAACCAATAATGGAAACACAACCAATTATAGAATTTTGTCCACCTAAACTTCGTACAATTGAACTTTTAAGATTAAGTAAAATTGTTGAAAATTGGTGAAAATTATCAGAAATCAGTTTCTAATGTATGAAGCAGCTTCCTCTACTGACCACTAGTAAGAGAAAATATTTTCAAAAAAAGTTTAAAAGAAATTAACAAAAATAATGAGTTATTCACACTAAATCTTTTGATATTTGTCAAGAGATTTGTGCGGAAACTTTTAATTTTAAGAATTTTTAATTTGAGTGACTGAGTTAAAAAAGTGAATACTTGAACAAATTAAAATGATTACCACTCTTTCCAGTGTTTAGTATAATTTGCATATTATCTTCTACATTTATGCTACTTGGAAAATCATACAAATCTACCGTTCCTCCACTATAAACCATTTTTAGCATTCTACTTTGTATATCTACTTGAATTGACATAGAATGCTCTGCGCCATTATTTGCACCTACAAATTTGATCTGAGATCTATTTCAGGCTCGATTTTCTTTCGAAAACAAGTTTTTTCTTTTTAGCAATTATCCAAACTTAAACAGTTTATTAAAATTGTTGTATTTTAAATTAAACTTTACTGGTTTGAAGTAGATCTTTTGCTTAACAATTCAAATTAATTTTTACTGACTGGAAAATTAAAAATGTAATTATTAAAAATTGTCAATTGTGGTTTAAATATGCACTATGAAATGGCTAGGCGAAAATCTTTCCCTTGGTCTTACCTTCATTTTGAACTTAAAAAGGAGTATTTTTTTTTCACTTCTTTGCAATAACAACTTTTTTCATTCAGAAATGAGCTATACTTATTAACTTATTTATAGAAAGAAGAATTAATAGACCAAGTAGTTGCTTCTTAGTTTTCGTTACTAATCTTCCTTCACCATCCATCAGATCGAGCGCAACAGCAGCATTATCGATATATGCAGAAACCTTAATAAAAAGCTATACTTCTCAAGAAAATTGAATATTTCGTTCTGTGCATTTTCTTCATGAAATCTAACGTTTCTTGTATGGAAAGAAATTTCTCAGCAGTGCACATTAATCGCGCAGAAGGGTGGAATTATTCGAAGTTGATACAAGTCTAAAAATTCTTGAAGAGAAAAAATAATAATAATCGCTATCAGGTACTAAGGCAATATCGGTATGACTAGTTCAATTATTTTTCTCATTGACTTGAAATATATTTTTGCATTTGTTTTCAGCATAGTTTATTTACTTCATCTTTCGCTAACAAATTATCATTGTTTAAACTTCTGTTTCTGTAAAAACTGTCAAATACATTTTTGCAAAAAGTAAATCTTAATGAGGAATAGAACAGAAATAAATTCTTAGTCATTTATTCATCATTAAAAAACCACTTTTATACGTAGTTTTTATTCTGTTCCATGATCCCTACTGAAATAGAATGTCTTATAATTAAATTTATTTGTTTAATTTATAAAGACTGTATTACATAGAGATTTTAATATTCTGCATTCCATAATTGATGAATTTTTCTTTGATTAGTGCCACAAATACTTTTTTGTCAATTACAAAAGAAGAAACATTATCATTGGGCAATGTTAGACGTCACGCTGAATTTTTTAAACAAAATCTGCAATAGATCAATTTATACAATTCATTACGATCAACTCATGCTCAGACTTCTAAAGAATACGATTAGTTTGTTCAAATATTGTTAAAATTAATGCAAGAAAAACAACTGTCATACAGCGAATATTGTAGAGTTTTGACTACTTTCTGCTGATAATGTTATCAAGCGTCCAGCAATTGATCGAGTACGGAAACGTATGGGTAAAATCAATTTTGAGCCATTATCTGTAATACAAATGTGGTGAATTATCTCGCAACAAAAAATGAAGAACTGAAGTCAAATAAGGAAATTCCCTTGGAAGACTTTGGACGTACTTAAAACTTCAGTATAGTTTGAAGATAATTGGAATTCATAACTTAATTTTTCCACTGATTTGTTCTCTTTACTTCAGAATTGCAACGCACATTTGAAATAGTAAAGTCATCCTTTGGTCGAGGACTTATTCATTCTATTTTCAGTATTGTAGATCAGACAGAATACAAAATTCGTGGTTTATTAGATAGAAATAGTCAAATTTGGAAAGCGCTACCTTGATAATTCCAATTAACAGGTTTGTAGCGTATGTAAGACTTCTCGTCCAGCAATGTAACGATTCGAGCTGGAATTTCCATCTGAGTATTTAACAAGCAGCAAACTGAACAAAGTAACCAGAATAACTGAATCTTCACGTGATTGAATATGTCCATTGATGCCATGACCTTTAAGCATTCATTTTGCCAATAAACTAGATTAGTTTAAATTCAGTTAAATTCAAACTGAATTATTTTAAGTTCCAAAAATCTCAAAGCAAATAAATTATAATAATTAAGTAGATATGAATTGTTTTATATATCTTTTGACCTTTGACTTAGTTAAACTAAAATCTTTGGTTCACTTGACTACTCTTTTTAAGAACGCAAATTAATATCATTAAAAGTGATGAAAAATTGTTTATAAAGGACTTATGCCGTATTTTAGACGTACGTGCAGACGTAAAAATGATAGAGAAGTGCTTGCAAACAAAATTAACTAGGTAGGCAAAATTGGAAATGTTAATATTCACTCTCTTTGATATGCAATAAAAGTTTGTGCTAATTAAGAAAATTATGAATTTGCTGCTGAAAATGAAGACAAGAAAGAAGAAAGGTACTGCTAGGTGAAAAGCATTTGACAATGCTTACACTATTACTCTCGAAATATTTGATGAAATTTCCATCTTGGGCTTATGTCAACAAATTGATAAGCGTTTACGTCCAATCTCTTTTTATGTACTTTTTATTAGTCATTCGCATCAATCGCTCTGTAAAGACGATGATGATAATGATGATGATTATCATCATTATCATCATCATTATCACCATCATCATCATCATCATCAATCATCGTCATTATCACTGCTAATTGTTGTCATTATTAATCGTGTCAGCAATATTTTCAATATAAAACTTTAAAAGTAGCATTGTTATACATAAATGTTTAATGATTCATGTTAAGTTAGCCATGGCACATCTATAATATGCTAGAAAAAACTTTCAAAAAATCTCATGTAATATTTTACAAGTCTTTTTCAGACTACTAATTAATCAGACTTGACATGATATATTTATTTTTGATATTGAAATTACATTAATTACATCTCAGTAAAGAATATTTTGGTGCTTAATAAATATAAAGTCTTATTACGAAAATATACTGAGAACCTTCTGAGTTGAAGTATAAACAAAGTCTCACTTTATAATCTAAACTTTGTGGTAATATTTAAATCAAAAATGTAATAATTTTTGTTGAGGCGAGAATATATTTCTTTAAAAGTAGAAAAATTTGATTCTAACGTATGAAAAGTTAGAATTAAATTTTTGCCACTGAATCAGAAATAAGTTGTCTTTTGGTTGCATTGAAAACGTGTAGCTCTTCAGACTTGACTTGTGCACACTGTGAGTCATATAAATCTCTTTTTTTAAACTAACTAGTAAACATATCAATTACGGTTCAGTTTTTGCCCAGAATATTTTGTTCTAGCTAGCAAAGCAATTTTATCTTCAAGGAAAAAAATTCCCATTAAGAAAGTGTCATTAGCGTAAAGTATAACTGCTTATCTTCGCATAATTTCCTCAAGCATTTTACTAAAAGTCAGGTTGAAACATTTGCTTTGCTGTTCAACTCATTAAAATATTCCACCTCAATAAATAACATCTAATTAATATGCTTGTAAAATGATTTTAATTTTCGTTCATTATCTCAGCATTGCAGTAAATAATTGAAAATGCATGTCTATCTCAAAAATACAAAATTTATCTTAGCTAAAGATTTACAGTCACTTTTTAAGCCATCACTGTTCTCTCATAGTAAGGAATCAATAAAATATTTTTTTAAAGTCGTACTGAAATCGTTTTTGTAGATTGCATTTGCAATTAGAATTCTAGCTTTAAAAAACGTTTGAATAAAGTACTAAACTCGCTAATTACATAATTAGTGGCTTCAGTAAGTTAGAAGTCTCCCAGCAACATTCATCAATTTACTGATGTTTCTGCGATAAATAGGATGCATTCACATTCAATATATTATTGAATACCACTTTATAATTGTAATAAAAGAATAAAGAACGTTAGATTTAGTAAATTTGCTTTATTAGTATTAAATTTATATTCATTATGTGTGTTTTCAAGCGGCTACAGCAAAATCATTAACAATTAGCAAAAAATTTTGCTTAAAAACCTTAACTCATGATGATGGTGGTAATAAATCTTGTGCCATATCGGATGAGAGATCGAACTTCCGATTCGAAGGTTGTAGATTCTGGCTTGTAATCTTGTACTGCAGTAAGTACATGTGAACTTGTGCTTTCAACACTCAAAGCTAACTTAGAATAAAAGAATGAAAAAAATGTTATCAGAGTAAGTCTAATCTTTACAAAATGATATAATTATTAAATACTGCTTTCATGTTACTTGTGGTATCGGTTAACAGCAATAGCTCCATATTTAGAGGTTGTAGGAAGTTGCTGTTATCAGAATTATCAGTGACACCAAACTAGCTTGCCTGATTTTCCGGCACTTTCCTTTCTTATCATCGAGAAGCAAACAATTATTGTAACTACATCTTTTGAGAGCGATTAGCAGTACGTCTTTTGATTACATATATTTTTTAAATATAATTATTTTCTTTCAAATACGATTATTTACTTTTATTAATTTGCATTGTTTGAAGTGTTTGCAAGTTAATATATAGTCTGCATTTATTGATTCCATCCCTTGATCTTCCATCAAGCAATACGTTTTGTTTTGCAAATAACGAAGCTGTCAATATGGTAGTAATTATTTAGCAGAAGTTATTTACTCTGTTCTTCAATTTCAGTAGAAATGAATATTGAAATTAGTTTATTGAAGTCTAATCAGTAGAACTTTGTAAAAAGAAGTTCAACATCTTGCATTTTCCCACAATGGCAAAAGTATGCAATGATTATGAGCGGATTATTTACTGCTGATTATGAAAGGTTAGGTAGCGAAGAGCTCAAGTACTTTGTGGAGTCATCTGATCAAAACACTGTGAAAGAAGCGAAAAATTGTTATCTTCATAGAATACTTTTTGAACTTCAGAATGTCTTGACTACATTTTGTTGCACTGCTTCTATCGCTCTCGCCAGTGACATATCTCTCAAACAACTTAATTTTTCAGTGTCATTTCATAGCTGAAATAAAGATTTACTAAGCTAACTAACTATTTGTGGATATTCAAATAATGATAATAAAAATAAATGCTAATACAACTTTTCTCAATACTAAGTGGTGTAAAGCTTTTTAGACCTTACAAATTACTTGGAAACTTACGGCAACTTTTTAAGGTTAACACTTTTTGCTGCAATATTGTCGACATGTCTTGTAAATAAAGTATTACTAAAGTATTAAGTGCTAGCTGCAAAATACTTTTTCGCCAAACTCTTCATGAAATGTGTCCACTTTTCTACGTTAAAATAATTTTGTTTGAAAGGTCAAGCTATATGATTTCACTTTTTCAGAAGACTAGATTAAATTTTTAAAAAAATTCCAAAAAAGTTTTTGTAAAACGTCTTAGTTTCATTTATTTATCCTTCAATAGTGATAATTACTCGATCACAATCTAATATAAAGATTAAATGTGGAGGTAAGTTTGTGATTTTTTTCTCTCCAAGTATTCTTTACGTAAGTACTAGCTAACTAGGGAATGCTCAAGAAACAAACAAGTTTAGATTACTCATTGATATTGCATAAATCCACAAATGTCGTCATATACCTTATTTTTGGTTGCGAGAGTTCGAGTATCAAAAATTGTCCAATTGCTGTTTACAGTTAACTAGAACACGGGACCAGAATTCAGTTCTTATCAATTCTGCAGCTGATTGTTTATCATTACTTGGCAAGCATAATCATTCTCTCTGTCGATATTATCAATGTCAGTTTTTATTGTTAATCAAGAATCTCTTACTTAGTCAAGTAACTCATTTAAACCAAGCAAGTCAGGAATTCACGTTAGCAATGTAGTAGCTTTCTAAAACAAATTTCTTATGCTCTTTAACAAGTATCAAACATTTGTTATTTCAATTTAAATTTATCTTGCAATACAGTAAATAATATCTTGTCTATCGTATGTGACACTGACTAACTGATGATCATATCGTTTTAAAATAGTTATCAGTAATATCATTCATATTAAGCGCAACAATCTTCACGAACTGCTTAATTTTCGTATTTTTAAACTATCGCAGAAGGTAATGTTTCTGCACTATTGTACAAAACTGTGAACATGTGAACTTTTGAGACGAAATATAAAATGAAAACTGTAATGTATTTTGTTTTGAAATATTCACATTTGGAAACATTCTTTTGAACTTTTGGCTTTTCACCACTATTTTTTACATTAATCATCGTTTCAATTACGTGTAATCTCATGAAATAACTCTATTCTCTTCTGCTGAACAATTTTATAACAATAATTAACTCTAATTATTATTATCATTATTCTTTGACAGCTTTTTGGAAAATGAGTGAATTTACTATGCAAATTGTGCTTGCTGTTGCAATGTTCATCACAACAGCAATTGCTGGATTCGCTCCATTAAAGGTAAACTTTAACCTTTTTTGCATGCAAATAGGGAAAAGGACATTGCAAGCATTAATTTCAATTTCAAGCTAAACTGCTTGAAAAATATTTTGGAAATACGAAAAGTAAGTAGTTTTACAGTTTTTTAGTGGGGCACTGGAATTTATTAAGGGAGATCAGTTATTATCAAGCACCTATCAGACCATGAAGCTATGAGAAATTGAGTCAAAGCAGTTCAAGTCCAGACGCTTACTGTCCACTCACTCATATTGTAATTAACTTCTTTCGGCGGAATTGGCATTTTGCAGCTTTTGTCGACATTTCAAAAAGTAATTTCAGTATACAACTCATCAATGTAATAAAATAAGTTTTTGGCAAATATGAAATATTTATTAGCGTAATTTTTCAGCTAATAAAAATGATTACTTCCAATGGCGCAATAAATCGAAAAGCTTCTGTTATTGTATCGGTAATGTCTTGCTATGCTGGAGGCATATTCTTAGCCACTTGCTTTCTAGACACGCTACCCCACCTCAGGTTAATTCTGCAATTTTCATGCATCAGAATTTTAACAATATTTGTTGTAGAGCAATTGTGAAAATAAACAAAAATAATTTTTACAAAATTTATGTGCCTACTTTTTGTCATATTTTTACTTAAATGCGTAAGTAAAAAAAATAAAATTAAATAAATTTGTTAGTTTGTAACTGAAAATAAATGAGAAATTTGTCCTCATGGCTCTATGCTGTGCAGTAATGACATGTTAAAGTAACAAAGTAACAAGGTTAACTTGAGCCAAGAACAAAGTGGCGCAGTGCCATAACAAAGTTCTATGATTTTATTTAATCCACTTAAGCGATAAAATGTTAAAGTAATCTTTTTCAATTGGCTTTTTTTATTTGCGATGAATAAAACAAATATGATAGATTAATATAAGTAATAAAAGTATAAGTTGAAATCAGTTGTAAATTGCTCACAACTTTGTCTATTGCATCGAACAATATTTCAAGTTTTCGCATGAATCGTTTGATTATTTGATATTAGCTTTTCAAGTACATCTCAGTTAATTTTCACTCTCATCAAGAACAGTTATTTCAGCGAAAATTTCAATAAATTCAAGACAATATCATCGTGGAATACATCATATCCAGTACCACAATTTTTAGTTTGCATCGGAATCCTTCTGGTTTACATTTTAGAAGAAGTGTTTGCTCAAATCCTAAGAAAGACAAATAATAAGGAAGTAAATGGGTTAGTTTGGCTTTTACTTGCAAGTAAACAATGTTTTCTGTTATTGCGTTATTTCCTTCAAGAACTTTACTTACTATCAGTTTTACGATTTTCTAATATCGCGAAACAGAATTAAGATTGTAAAATCAGTATGTGAGATGACTAAATTTTCTGAAAAAATAATTAAATAACTGTAAAAATTCATTAAACTGCCTATTAATTTGGTGAATTTCAAACGTGTTGTGTATGATCTAAGTTATGACTGAGTTTAACAATTATAACTTCCAAAAATAATGAAAAAAAAAAATTTTTAAATTTTGCACAAATTCAGAAATGATACAGAAAATGCGACTAAATCGTTGAACAAGAAAGGAGTAACTGTAGAACAAGAAGAGGAGCCTCTGAAAATATTTCAGGCAGTTGAAGCAGAATCTTTGAGACACTGTAATGGCAGACTTACAAAGTTAGTTCCTTCTAATAACTTGTTGCATAATACTTTCAGAATAAAATTGTGAATGCTACTGTGGAATATATTTCTGCGATAGAATCAGCAGTCAATATTTCATTAATACTTTTATTAATGTTGCAATTATTTTTTTCGCCTTCATTAATAAATTCATTTTTATTTTAATTTAAATTTCTAGAAAATCAGAACACTATTGAAATTTTTTTATTGCTATTTGTTTCTTTGATATTTTTGCTTTTTGAATTGATTCTCTGACATCCAAAAATTACGTTTCAGTGATATTTGCAGTAATAAATAGTTAAAGGGGTACGCTTTTTTATGCCATTTTAGTTAACTTTTTGTGTCGATGAACAAGTCTCATACTAGATCAGTTCAATCTAGAAGGATGAATATCTTTACTCTGATTATATAGATGAAATGTTTCAGTGCTGACAGTGAGGAATGTCAAAGTCGTCGAAGTAATAGTATGGTCTCCTCGGGTATTGTACAGTCCATTACTTTCACTATAGCCATGTCATTTCATTCAGTTCTTGAAGGAGTTGCTCTAGGTGTACAAGTAAGTTTTTGTTTCAAACCACATTTACTTTTGTAATGAAATAAGATCACTTGATATCTAATATAAGGTAACAAAAAGGCAAAACGTGTGAAGAAAAATGCAAATTTAAGTTGGCGATAGACAATTTGATTTTATGAAAGCATAAAATACTTTATCACAGTGCCTACTGTGTTAGCCCATAATGCTATCAGGATAGCCTAGCTAATCATCACTAGATTGCTTGTAATTACTGGACGTTTTTATCCGCGCAGTCAAAATTAATATAAATACTCAAGAAGGATTGAAAATATTTTATTCAAAATGAAAAGATACTTTTGATCATCTATTCTACATGAAAATTATCTGGAATCGAACTGATAAACGTATAGTAGGGAATGCTTTTTGAGATGGATGACTTCGTGCTCGAGTAGCTGTATTACGTGTCCAAGACTGGTCACTAGCAAAGTGATCAAAACTAATTCAAACTTTCACTAATGAAGTGGTTTCAGGATGAGAAAATTGGCATCATAACTTTGTTCATTTCGCTTCTTCTGCACAAAGGTATTGAAGCTTTCAGTGTTGGGTTGCAAATATCTCGAACAATTTCTAATAAAACTAAAATGGTTATTGCAACGATAATAATATACTCACTAATGACACCATTAGGATCTATCACTGGATTGTTACTACAAGTAAGTGCTGGACAGTCATTTACACTCTAACTTTAATTTGATAATTATTTAGCAAAGTACAGGGCAGATATATATCTTTCATTTAAATAAGAGTAAAAAAAATTGACCACGTGCATTTCTGAAAAAACTTACACAAATTTTCATGCAGTTTTGGAAACTTGTAAGCAGAAATAATGGACTAATTTTTTCAGAATATTGATATGGATGAATGTTGGCGACAAGGTACCATAATGGTTCTTGAAGCACTAGCAATTGGGACATTTATTTTTGTTACATTTTTGGAGGTAAGAACTTGCTGGCTGAGTGAAAAAATGTATTAGCAATTTTTAGTAAATGACTTTTAAAAACTGTATTCCCAATTTGAATTCAAAATCTTCGTTTTATAAACAGATAATTTTAAATAACATAATAAAACTCTAATAAAGCAAAACTTCAATAAATTTGCATTCTTTTACAATTTAAATCAAAAAAGTCGAAATTGAAAGATAAAGAAATTTTATCTTCCCCTCTTGATCGAATAAATGACAGATTACAATGCCTGAAAGCCTTCTCTTTCAGGTCTTATCCGAGCAACGATACGATCCAAAAGCAGCAAAGCAAGAAATATTGGCAGTGACGTTGGGTGTTTTGACTATTAGCGCTTTTCAATATTTCGAAGGACATCTTCGTGATACGCATGAAAATGAAAATTCAACTATTGCCTTCTGAATCCTCCCTTGCCAATTTTATTTAGTAGTTTTTTATCCATGGAAACTTCAGAAATAGACTGATAGAAATAACATTTACATTCATTTGCAAAAAATGATCATTGTGTTTTACAATCAAATGCAAATGAGACTTTGCAAATCTTTTCATTTCAATTTTTAACTGTGTGACAAAGCTTACTGAACTTTCCGTTTGCAAAACTCTTATAATGATTATTGTTCATATTTTGTTGTGTAATAAACTTCGAACAAACTTGTTATTTTTCAAGCATTTGAAAAATGTGTGCTGTCCGCTCGCCATTTCTCAAATGTTGTTTTCTCTTCAACTTTAATTAATGCAAACACATTTTCTGAAAGCCAATGTGCGTGACAACTATCTTATTAAAATAAAAGATGATAAAAGTATAAAAAGTATTAATAAAAACTATTATTGTTAAAAAAGTATGAGGAAAATATAAAATGTATTAATAAGAAGTTAGTGCACATTATAACTCTTATTGCTACTAAACTCACACAGAAGAAAGTTTACTTAAAAGATCACAGAGTGAAGTAAATATTTTTTATTGGAAAACGAATAAGCGGGCGAAAATTCAAAATAATTATTTGTATATCAAAATAATCCAAGCATCATTTCTTCTTATCATATCATATTGTATATCAATATTGTGATGGTGGAAATTTTTTCAGTGTTTTTCAAATGTGCGACCATTTTGTAGGCAAATGAGAAAATCGCGCAGAATCAGAAAATGAAAAATCGCAAATCGTAATGTTGCCAAGAACTCGTCTTTAGATATTGACAGTGAAATATGCAATAATCTAACATTAATACTAAGTAACTGTAAATTCGATTAGATTTTTCTTATTCATATCAGTCAATTAGTTTTATTTCTTCACTTTAATAATAGTACTTATAAAAAAGCAAACTTCCAGTTAAGTTAGCTACCAAGTTTGCTGTATTTTCGGTCCGAACACTAACTATAATAACTGCTCATTCAACAAAACAGTTACATATTGTTTCCAATTACTAGAACAGTTTGTACTTAAACTGACTAATTAGCACCAGAACTTGCTTCAAGAAAAGTCTCCAAGTTCGATTAAAACTATCAAGCAAGAAGTAAACGATAAATATTTGAAATTCAGAATTTCTAAAATCATGGTTACTAATATCTGGCTAGACTGAATCGACATAATTTGAATCAGCATCCAATCCAATATCGCTTACTAAAAGTGACTTATTTGATCTGATTTCACTTTGATCCAAGTTATTTTCACAATGATCTCTTAATAGTTCATTTCCGTGTGAAAGGAAGAGGAACACTAAAGGTTCATTCGACCATGGTGTTATTGTTGTTACTTGTCCACTCTCTTGAGGAACTAAGTGTAGTTTAAGAGGGTGTTCTGTGAGGAAACAATGAATGAAGAAGTGTAAGATTGTGTAGTGTGAAGCTAGTAACCACTTGTTGGATTAAGCTTGAGAAAAGAGCAGAAATTGTTTGCATGTACCATTCGGTGGGATAGAAAGTTGTTGTGATTGTGTTGGCAGCGTATTCAGCAGATCGTTGAGGTAATCTGTTGCAGGCGACAAGGAGCAATGGTCAGCGATAATTTTTTTTGGGTCGAAGGACACTCGTGTGCTTCAAGCGCACTTACCTCTTAAGGGATATAATTATTATTGCCTTTCTTAAATTACATTTCATTTATTAATTTTTATCATTTTCAATGTCATTCGGTTCTTGTTATTGTGCAAACCACGGTATCTTTAGAGGCAGTTTCGATATTATGCTATGCTACAGATTTGAGTTGCTTTGTGAGTCATGTAGGTCAGTATTATCTCTCGACCCTATAAAAGTTGTGCGATTTCTTTGGCAGAATGTCTTGATATTTGCTATTGTTTTGAATAAAACACTTTATGGCAGAGATGATTCTATGGCTTAAGGTATAAAATTTCGTGATTCATTCGTTATTATTAAAAGTCATGAGTCAATAGATTTTTTGCTTCAGAATCTTTAATTTTCTGTGGTATTGACGTAAATACGTCCTAGTGCATTAATGGAGTCACCCTCTTGGATGTTCAGTAAGGCACTTTCTCATCGTCAGAAAGTATGTCGTTTGTTTAAGCGAGCAATGCGTGAAGTAGATGGATACTATGGAACAGATATGTAAGTTACAATTCATTTGTTTTAAAGCACTTTTGCAAATGAGTAGTAGTAAAAGAGGCCATTTGGACTGTAATAATGATGATGTCATGTAAATTAGTCATGCAAGCTTAGATCTTAGTCCTAATATAATGCATGTGAATGTGTCATCAGCACTATTTGTGATCTTAATAGCGTTAATTCATTTTACGCTACTTATTATTAGATGTCATAAAATTTGAAAGCAGTGTACCAGTTTTTTTCTCTGATTCACTATTTTTGTATTTAAATACCAGCAATAATTTTTGTCTTCAAAAGCAAGTTCGAATCAATTGAGTTTAGACAAATTTGTTCGTTCATTGTTCGGTACCTTAATTGCTAAATCACGAAACTATTTTTGAAAATATGCTAACCAAAAACAGAACTTGTCTTTCTGAATAATTTAAAAGCATATGTTTACATTGACGTTGGATTGCTTTCCCACTTTCATAGCGTATTTTGATCCCAAAACATATCGTCTTTTCCAGTATTTTTGACAGGTCCATTTTAGTTTAGAAGCTCGTTATCAAAAGGTAATTATGAGAGCTCGTTTCGATGCATACAAGGAAGAAAAAGATCCTAATAAAGCGCGCTTGATATATTTGGATGGTTGTCGGCAAATATGGGAAAGGAAGCACTGGACTACTTTTCGATGTAAATTTTTGTTCATCGCATATAGTACTTCTGATGTAATCAGATTTCTGGATTTAGGTGAAAAAGATGGAAGTGTTTTGAGATTTATCGTATTTGCATCTCTTTCACTCTTCGCTGAGAAACGGCAGTTCTAGTTCTAACACTGGTGAACATACTCTTAAATTATCTGTCATGAAGCGAAATTTGTTTTATAAATAGCTGCTGTCGGACTCGTAATATAAAATTTTAAAACTTCAGTTCATTTGATTTTTTTTGCAGTTGCTTCGGATATTGGTGGTGCAGCATACAATCGTGACACGCACAATATGCCTGATGCTGTAAGTTTCTATTTTCTAGTCAGGAATAGCGCATTTATATTCATTTTTCATCACATATTCATATGTTTTTAATAACAGATAAATCCATTTTGGAAATTTTTAGAAGTGTGATTATATATAAATCTGAAAAAATCTTTTCGGTAATCATTCAGTTGAGGAATGAGCCCATAGTCAGGTCCTTATTATTGGAAATTGTTTTAAAGGATACGCATTATTGCGCAAGACATACATGTTTCTGCAAGTTTTCAAACTAAATATTTTTATTACATACTCTTTATAGCTGGAGAATAACTTTTTGTTTTTTTGTTGAGTTTCAGTGTATTGTTGTGTTAATTTTGTTTAATTGAATCATGTAAGACATTTGTAACTACATGAAAAATATTTTTAGTTTCTTGACAGTTCATCATGGACAAATGTCGAACGTGAGCAATTTCCGTATTATTTCAATCGACGTGAGCAAAGAAAAAAAGAGTTGCTTGCCCACTGGTCCAAAATTGAAAAAGAATGGGACGAAGAATTAGCTAAAATACAGACTGAATTACCAGAAGCTTCGCAGAAGCCTTCACGACAGTAGATAACAGTATTTGTTGTTGTCATTAGTTTTTGTATTTTATCCTCCATTGTATTTTAGGTATTTTAATTTTTCGCGAACTGATTTATATATCAATTTTTTGGCAGTCATATTTCTGGCATCAAAATTATTTGTCACTGTTCCTTTTTGATTGCAAGAGATTGATTTTTAACGTTCTCCAAAAGGATTTTTAGCACTAAAGCGTAGTTAACACATGCATTTGCCATAACTTTTATTACCTTTGGTCATATCATTTGGATTCTGCTACATTGTCAAGTTCTTTTTGAACTGAATAAAACAGTTGTGATTCTGGAATTTCGAACTTTGTATTGAAAATATGTAGTCTCGAAATTGGGTAAAACTAGTCATGTAGTCAGAGATGAAAAATTGATGAATGTGCGGAACAGTGGAATGATCACTGCAATCATTGTAGTGCGCTTACATATTCATTACTTTACATGTGCTTATAAATATGAATAGATATGATTTAGAGAATTTGCGTGAAGTATCAGTTGATTTAAAGCAGCTTGTCATTAATTTTGTGGATGCATGGACACGTTGGTGAGCACTAGTTTGTGATTTTTTTGACTCGTTATAAATAATACTTTTAATCAAGTATAAATTGTTGTTCGTTGTAAATTGTATTCTCGATTTGATTTCTGGGACATGCTAAAAAATTTTTAGGAGTGAATTAATGATGGGAAACGATTACGCTTTTCGTTGTGAACAAATAATTTCATTCATTGTTAAGAAACTTAATACTCAAGTGCATAATATTGAAAAATATAAACATTCTTGTCTGCCAAATGCTGTAGTATATTTTCAGGGATGTCCGAAACAAAATCACCAAAACTTGCACCAAAGCCAGGCCGAGTCGTTGTCTACCGTGCCTTATGTGACTATATGGCGCGAAATGTGTGTCCTTTTCCCCGCTAAATGTTATTCAAATCCTTTTAGAATGGAGTAATTGGGATCTGTTGTATTTTGGAGTGAAAAGCTACTTTGAACTTTGGGATCTTCATTTTTCATAAAGATCGCTTCTGTTTTCAGGAGAGGGAACTGTCTGTTACCGAAGGTGACTTACTGTATATATCCGATAATAGCCGTGATATACAATGGTGGTCGGCTAAATGTGGCGGACGAAGCGGTTTGATTCCGCAAAAATATGGTTAAATTGTAACTCGTACAAATTTGAAATTTATAAATAGAAAGCGCGTAAATCCATGCTAGCAGTAGCAGCTGTCGAAATATTATTAAAATTTCTAATTACGCCGAAATACCGCACAGTGCTTTCAGTGATGATGGCCGAATACATTGAATATCCATTGCACGATGCTGCAAAGCGCGGGAATATAAACTTTGTAAAGGAATGTCTCGAGAATGCGGTATGTAATATTATCGTTCGCTCCTATAGTAAAGTTTGGTGGCTTACGCGACTTTTGTACTGTAAGAGTTACTTCAGGTATATAGTATTATGTAGGTTCTTATCTCAGTATATTGTTTAATAGGTGTCTGCAAACGCCCTCGACAAATCAGGCTCAACACCTCTGCATTGGTCGAGTCATGGCGGCCATTCACAAGTCGTCAAGTTACTATGTTCCGTACCTAACATGTGCATTTCTGCGCAGGTTGATATGTCAGCTATCTTTGGCCTTTTAATTATTAATTCAATGGTATTGGGGATTTGCTTAATACTTTGTCGTGTCCGTCTTTGTCGGTGATCTGATTCTGAGTACATCATTGTATTACAGTGTCTGGCAGTCTATGAAAGAGACAATTTGATACAATAACTTAGATCTCTTTATGCTTTCCGTTTGGACTTAATTGACAATGCAGAACAAAATCGGTGATACGGCGTTGCATGCTGCTGCTTGGAAAGGTCATCTGGAGTGTGCACGAATTCTACTTGAACACGGTGCTAACACTTCAGTGCTTAACAATGAAAAAAAGCGTCCTGTTGATGTTGCGTGTGATTTAGAAATACGAGCGCTCATTGAACTGGCGATGCGTGGCACGACAGACAACTGTCAAAATGAGTATATTTCTGAGTCCGATGATACTGATAATTAAAATGTACTTAATTACAGTCTACTAGCTATATCCCTTGCAATTATATATATGCCCATATCATCATATCCTTACGAAATCAGTATTTTTGCCGTTAATACAACCCATACTTTCTTATGCATCACACGAGCTCATCGATGTAAGTAATAAATCTATTGAAACGAAACGCTTGGATTGTATCCCTCACGAGTGAAAAAAAAATCGGACCATAAAATGACTATGTTTTGAAGTCCGATAATATTGGTAATTAAAATATGCATAATTACAGTCCCTGCAAGCTCACCGATTTCCTCTCGTTCATGTTTTAACCCAAGAATGCACTCGTATGCTATAGATAATACTTTTTTGTTTTACTATTAATAGGGCTGTAACGAGCAACAAATGAAGTCTAAGCAAAGAAAATTTAATCATGATGCTAAAAGTTTCGGCTAGTAGTTCAGTGACAAAATACCGAACCAAAAAGAACTTTAAAACAAAATAAAACATTACAACATGAAAGAGAAGTCTTTTAATTAACAAGGAACCAGATGTTATACAAGAAAGAAAACGGCAATAATCACCGCATTAAGCATTAAATCGTACACCTTCTAGAGGTTTACTGATATAACTCAGTTGATTATTCAGATTCACCAAGTCTGCCTCGACAGCGCTGCCGCTTGAATGCTGTGAATCGTCATCACCACTAAAAATTTGAAAAGCAGAAAATAACAGGAAAATAAAAAGACTCCAGTAGATTTGCTATCTACAAAAATTGAAGAGATTTCGTGAGGTAATTACTTACTACATCGCTATGTAATTGCTTCGTCCGCGTTTTGCCATGCGTGAAGCAATCATTACTGGTGAGGGACGCGAAACGGCCATGTTTACAATTTGGAAATCATACGCAAGTGCATGGACAATGCCTTGCATCTCATCAGCACTCATTTTCGAAGAGTCGAACAGCAAAGTGTATCGGGGTGCTTTTGTTGTACCCTTAATATTTTGATGCAAATCTAACGGATCAGGAAAAAAAATCAAGTGATTTGCCTCAACTTTAGAAAAAAAATACATTCGCCACACCTTCAGTGATTAATTTAATTTTTAAGTGAGATCACTGTGAGATCAAAATATGGTTGTTCATAATCGCCTCCAATTGCCTTAAATTTTGTTGTTTCAAGTGGTCAAAAAAGTTTAACATTTAACAAAACTCCTGAATAAAGCCTATTCCCTGCTAACCAGCACAAGTGTAATTATGAATTCTGAAAAACAACAAACCTGAAACGCCGAATGAGAATTCAGATAAAACTCATTCAAAACAGGATTAACTACATGTTTATCGATAACTGTTCCAGGTTTGATATTTTGCTCCACTGCTTTTGCTTGATGCGCAATATTCTGCAAAAAATGTGCATAACTTTTAAGTTCTTTAATGTTTGAAAATTAAAAAAAATTGGTATGATATTAATTCTGGACGCTCATCACCAAAAAACGAAATTAAAGGATGGCGAAATAAAAATAAGAAATACATTACCTTCTTGAACAAACGTATACTATGCATTTTTGTGAGCACAGTAAACGTGATATGAGGACGATAAAACGATCCACCAACTGTATTACATGCCTTTTTGATTTGTTCTATCTCAGTATTGAGGACCTAAAAATCGTTAAAAACTTGCCTTGATTATTTTTAAAATAGCACATCACATCTACGAACATATCACGATATGGACATTAAACATAAATTATTAACATTTAATTAAAACCATGCTTTATATATTCTTTTCAACAAAAAGAATCAAGCCTTCATCATGATTGCCTTTATAACGCCAATTTTTAAAAATTACAACAAACTTACATATTTGTACTGCCCTTCAGACACACCATCCCTAATAACAAATAAATGTGTCGGAGGCTTGCCTCGATTATTTTTGAAGTACCGCATTATATCTACGAATATATCGTGTATCGATTCATCCATTAACTGAAAACAGTCAGACACATCCTACTGTAAACTATTACTTGCATAGGTTAACAATCAATATAATTGTAACCTATAGACCTATCAACACAATTTCTTAATTGGACGATTTATACATATTGAAATTTTAACAAAAATAAGCTGTGAAGGTAGCATGTGACGTAAAATGGACAAACAAGTCGAAGTTTAAAAAGTTACCTATGTATATACCTGGATCTGTTATTTTAGAAATATACCAGAAGCCACTAAGAAAACCAGAAAAGATTATTAGAAAGAACTATACCAGAAGAGAACAAGCTTTATTTCTATTTAATTTATGAAAAAAAAAATCACGGTTAAAAAGAATCAGCAATGAATACAAGTCTCGCCCCATCATTTACTAATAACTGAAAAAGTTTTTTCACTACTTCAGCAGCACATATTCGAATATTAACAGACCTCTTCCATTTCTGCTTTACCATAACGATAACCACCAATGAAATCTAATGGATGTTTCTTTATGTTCGCTGAATACTGAAAACTTGAAAACAATATTTTCTTATAACCACAAAATACTGCAAAACTTGAAAGAATTAACTGTGAAAAAATGCAGGAAGCGATAATCTCAAACACTAATTTAAAAAAGATTGTTACCCCAATTACAGATGGAACGACGTGTCTATCCTTGCCAAGAACAGCAGAAACAGGAGGATGTGCAATGTCCAATCCTACTACAAGCAGCCCTGGTTTCAATAGCCAGTCGTCGCAGCTGAATAAGATCATAGTGCAGAACAATTTATTTTGCTTTCGCTACATATATATTGAAAGAAATGACTGTTTGGAAAATACTTTCAAATTTTCAGCAACAGAGGAGTTAAAAAAGGATAAGAACTAATCACTTTTTTTCGAGATGAACTGAGTAATTAAGTCCTCCTAATTTGACATTAGTTTTATTGATGATATTATCCAGTGTCTGCCATTTGTTTTGTAACACCACAGCAGCTGCGGTTGATGCTTTCAGATCTTGTGTAAGTATTTGCTCTTGCGATTCTACATATTTCATTTGCGCTAAAAAAATTATACACACTAATTTTTTTTTCAAAAAATTGAATCTTTTCAAACAAAATTTGCAAAATAATGGTAAAATTTGAGAAATAAAATTAGTCTCTGAAAAAGGTTTTCATTATTCTATTTAGCCGCAACGTATTATTTTAACAAAGTACCAAAACTGACCCTAAGCAAAAACTAAAGATCATTGCTCTCAATGCTTTAAAAACCGTAGTCTACCAAACAGCTATTGAACCATTTTGAGCCAAAAGCAAGCATAGCTTGTTTTCCAAAGAAAAAAATTGGATAGTTAATATATTGTCAACCAGAAAAGTTAGTCATTATTATGTTCATAATCATTACGATTATAGATTTAGCCAGTAATTTCACATCATTTTACGCAAATTATAAGAAATATAAACGCGAATATGCCCGAAAATTTTTTATACAAATGACAAGAATTTCAAATTGTTGGTGACAATAAAGGAGCTCCTTAAGTAGTCGAATATTAAATTTAGAAGTGATATCAACAAACATTCATTAAAAAATAGTTACCGTGATAATCCAATTCATCGGCAGTTACAAAATGGATGAATGTTGCACCCATACGCTTTGCTTTTGAAATCAATGACTCCACATCTTGTTGTTTTGTACGGTAAATATATTCGCAGCCAAGTGGTTCGCTCATTTCCATACCATGCTGACGGCAATGTAAGAGAAAAGTACGAATGTAAGTACTAAAACATATCTCTTTTAAATTGCCAACTGTAAAGTTCAAGGAAATATTTGGCCACCTTTTGTACATGAAAAAGCAAAAAAGTATTTCAACTTATTTTTGCATCATACTAAACTTTAAATATACCAAAGACATCCCCTATTACATACTGCCTCCAATTAATAAAACAGAAAAAATACCGAAATTGTGTTTCATTTAGTTTACTATCTCGCGGCCCCATTAATGCTACTGCAAACCAATTTTTACAAGTTGCCGGAATTAAATAATGATTATTTCCAACTGACCAAGAAGTCTGCAACATGAATCACATGCTCCTATGGAATACATTCAGCAACATATTCTTTATTCTCAAAAATAAGTTCACCGAACCAAAAAACCAAAACATGTCAGAAATATTCAAGTGATCAGAAATATACCTTTTCATTCGGTTTTAACCGGCCATTCGTACTGTACTCGATCGATGGTGCCGGTAGTACCCTCGCGGTAAGCTAAAGAGAACTTATTCATTCTTTTTCTTCAATATTTTATAGCGGAAAAAGCAATAAAAAGATACCGTTAAAGTATCAGTAATAGTCACATCACACCCCTTTAGCCATCTATTTCCTATCTGTCCTCTAAGTTTCATTGCTTCTGTCAAAGCCGCTGTCTGACTTATTCGACGAGAAGGAAGCGTCGCACAGGCCTAAAATTAATAAGCAGAATGAAAGATTTCCCAGTGATAACTATTTAAAGCAAAATTTTTGGTATTCAGATAAAATGGATGTGCAGAGACGAAATAATCTTTATATTTCATCAGACATGTGTACTAATGATATGATTTGGAACAAACAAAGTTAAACAAATAGCTCATGAACGTGAAAAAAGTGACATATTCTTAATATAATTCTTAACATAACTGCCAAGAAGACACTTGAAACCACTTACTCGAATCATTGCCTGAACTTGATTGGAAGTTTGTTGCCCTTGAGACACTCGCTGGTTCTCACAAACACTTAATACTTCCATAGGATAAAACTTATTTCTCGGTTGACTTCGTTCCATAATACAAGGTAAAGTTGCATACTTCAATCTGATAGCATACTTCTTGAAGAAATATTGTTCTACTGACATTTCACCAGTTTTAGTGACTAACCTAAAATCATACCATATGACGCGGCATTATTTTTTTTCCACTGGGTACTCATAGATATAACAATTATTCATACTTTAATGATCTCGGAGTATCCTTTGATATTCCTCCGATAGCAAACGTGCGTTCTTTTCCATAACCACAACGTACATACAACCCTATAACTTATTGACCTGAACGAACAAAATGATAGCACAGAATTCTAGATTCGTCTGATCTGCCATTATTCTGAGATTGCTTCTCGAAATGCTTAGAGTTACTGCAGCGAACTTGGTCAATTTTCATAGTAAATTAGAAGGAAAAAATAGAAGTGGCCGATTTCTAATCAAAGGTAGTACTCTACAAATGGTACTATGTGAAAACGCCTCTATCGTAAATTTTTCATGTGAAACACATTTATAGAACTGTTTCTTGAAAGACATTATTTATAATTCAATTCGGAAGACAAAGCATGGCTGCCATTATATGCGCTTTGATGCTTCTTAGTTATTTGCCTTGAAGTCAATCTATTTGAAATATTTCTACAACCTTATGCTTTTTCATTTTCGACATTCATAGTATTTCCTTACCTTTTTCATGACTATCCAAGCAAAATATCTCCTCTGTACCTAGTATTTTATTTTCACATAATTAAATAGTAACCACTGGTTGTCTATATCACTACCACATTATAACACAAATATTATATAGTATTCATATTTAGACATAAGCAAATAATTTTTTCATACTCGGTACTATACTTCAAACTCTTATTTCTCTTTTGATGTAATGGTAAAAATATATCATAATACCTTTGAGAGATTTGTTTAAAACAGCTATCGACTGCTGATCAAGACCTCGATTTAACTCAGTTTTACTTCGTTTCAATATGTTGCCAGCTTTCTCAACCAAATCTTGGTTATCAATGTGAAAAGCAGCTTTTTTCACTAAAATAAACACCGTATAAAAATACAGAAATTCTGGATCTTATAAAAACTAAGCTATTCCACCAACAAGCGAAACAAAATATAAAAAATACTAACCATCAATTACCAGTGCTGCATTTATACCACCTGACCCCTTAGGCCCTTCGATGACCCTGACACCTTTCGATGCTCCGATGGCTACGTATTTGCCCTCCTGAAGTTCAGGCATATCCTGAGCTTTGAATCCGAATTGATCAGGATCTAATAAGTAGCACTGTCCGGTACCATAGCTAACAAACCTCCCACTAAACAAAGCATTATTAACGCTTTTAGAATTACAAGATATTAATGAATTTAAAACGCAACGGTTAGTAACACGACATTTTCCTACCCAATATAACTCAAAATATCATCTAGACCAATGAAATAAGTAAACCAACATAGAAATTTCCTCTTGACTATACCTTTTCTAGTCCTCAAACAAGTCTTTACAAAAATAATCTAGTGCCGCACTGTCTAGTTATAAGGATAAATATCGATGAAATATACGAAAGCTTACTGAGTAAAGAATACTTCTTGCATAGCAAGAATTTCCAAAAATTGCTGCAAACTTCTGTTAACTTCATCTGGATTATTACTGACACTGTTCTTCAAATCATTCATTGTGAGTTGAAAGTCATCTTTACATGGTTTTACCTTAAAAAAATGAAAAAAGTGCACCTTATTTTTTATCTACTCAATATTAACACAGTTTTTCACAAAAACCGCTTACTTTTTATTCCAATAGTTATAAATTGTGAGCATAATTTATATTTAAGGCAGAACAGACCATGACTGCTTAAATTAATTGCAGACAAACTTTGTTTGATGAGTTCTCCAGTCATTTTTAATAAATACCATTTTTATTATTTATTTAAAAGATTATACTACAACTTTCTCAATTTGAAAAGAAATGACTTCATTGAAGCATCATTCAAGGTAGAACAAACATAAAAAATAAAATCTTGATAAATGAGTCATGTATCCATCTTACAAGGCATCTACTAAAAAAACGAAACTCAAATAAACTTACATTCACATGAATCTTAACGCATTCATCACCAACTGTATTAGCTGGAAGCTCTTTTGGATCCAGATAAAAAGTTATCTGTGACTAAAAATTTGCTTATAAAATAAAACAAAAAATAGTAATGCCAGGGACTCAAGCATAACATTAACAATTATTTTTCACCGCATCCGAATAATTTTTTTATAATCCTAAAAACTAAATAGCATCTAGTATTCTCTTCTGCCTGAGAAATAAACTTTTGAAATATTTTCAATCAGAAAAGTTAGCTGGAAAGAGCAGTACAGTTTAAGGATTAACTGCATTTGTGTAATTTCAGAAATGCAAAATATGACCTCCTTGTCGCCACCACCTCCAGTAATAGGTAACTTTTTCAAAGAATATAGAATCGCAGCACGATCATAAACAATGGAGTCTGGCGGACCGAAAAATTGCTTTTCTCGTTTTAACAAAGTCTGATACACTATCACGCACTTCGACTTCCGTTCGACAGCAATATAACTAAACATTGTCTAAGACTAACTGTTTCATTGTGATTCCGATACTTTCACCTTTCACTTAATTATATTCTTCAAAAGCGGTGCACTGACTCACCTCCCAAAATTTTTTAACTAATGGAACTAATGAATAGAACACTGTGTTCATTTGTAGCAAATTTTTATGGAAAAGTTAAATATATTAAAAAAAACCAACTCATTACGCGTCTGTTTCGTGACTTCTTTCATAGCTGGTTCACTGCTCCCCTTTTTAGGAGGATACTCCTCTAAGACACGAAAATCATACCGGAAAATAGGTATATTTTTCTGGGGGATCATTCCCCAAACATTTGTAACCACCTCTATGTATTCTCCAGCTCGCGTTCCCGGAGCAACTTTCTGAGCCAAACAAGTTGATGAAGGTTTGATCTGAAATTTGTTCACTGAGAGATTACTATAAGAGAGTAATTGAGCTCACTCACAAAGAATTCAAAAGCTGAAAAATCAACAGTGCGACTTTCCGATCAGCAATCCGCTTACTTTCAAACGTTCCATTTGTGCGCGCGCTTTTTGCACATCGCCCACTTCTAAAAAACTCTTAATAATAGATAGCCAAAAGCTCACATGATGATATTTCAATCGCTCTAAATGTCCCCTTCCCGATATTTTTTACTCTTCACATATTTTATATGAAAGAAACCCCACATCCTCCCCCCACTAGCTCAGTAAAGGGTTGACCAAAAGATGAATAGGTTGATTGTGCAATTTTTTATATTATTAGACAGTTACATAGATGCCAAGCATAATTCTAATAATTCGGTTAATATTCGATATAATATTAATATTCTAATATATTTATATATTTATATTAATATTCTAATATTCGACTGTTATTTAATTATTTTTATTCTTATAATTCTAAATAAACGGTTTAATTAATGACGCTTACCCGTCATGTTTCACTTCTTCACTATCACGAATACGCTGCGAAAATATCAATAAACGCCTTCCACTAGAAATTCAAAAAATACATGAATACAAATGGATGAATGTTCATATATTTTTGTAAACGTGTTGTTTTTCTATGCATAAAGAATTTAAAGCGATAACAAATTTCCAGTTAGAAAAATGCATTCAAGTTTTGACACCAACGCTAAAAACACTAGGACAGAAATTTGTAAGACACACACAACACAACAGGCAAACCAACAGTGAGATGTCTATTATGAAAATTTAAAGCCATTTTTAGACTACAACGGCACTTTGTGCTATACTATTCAGTTAGAAAAAAAATTGATAGTGGAACTAAATGCTGTGCTACCAGTAATACTGCGAATAGAAATTTGAAAATCAAACTCAGAAACATACAGACGCAACTACATTCTAGTATGTAACGTAAGCAGAACTGCTAGAAGCTGCTAGAAGCATTACATGACGGACCAAATTTCTAGAGAAGAATCTCATCTCAAACACTGAATTTCCCAGACTTAAAACCTAACCAATCTGCAGTCCACTTCTGCTTCAACAGTAATGACAAGAAATGCTAGACAAAACAACTGCGCTAGAAGAATGAATAATAATGCGGCAGGACGATCATTCATCGTACTCCAGAAATTTCTTATCAGGAAGTATAAATTCAAAAATTGATCTGAGAAACACATTAAGACGCCGGGACATTTCGAAATACTACACAAGTGTAGAGCGTTACGAATTACAAATGGCATAATAGATACCCAAACGCCAGCTATCCTTGCATACAAATGCCTTCCCACACCATTTGGTTCGATAAACGTGCGTGAATGTAACAAAAGTCACGTAGACCAGTTAGTTATCTTCTTTTCACCTCCTCTTTTGCTCACTATATAGCACTTCTAACTCTCTGTGCACAGAACACTCAGAGTATGCTTCCTCTGAGTGTCATGTCTGTCTAGATTCATCCCTTGTAGAGGTCGTTTTAAGTATATCAGAAGATGTAGAATATCATCTATAGAGACAACAGTATTCGATACCAATACCTTTCACTCTCTCACCAATATGCATCAGTTTTCAAGCTTTAATCGAAATTCATTACTCAATCTTGAAATAAAAATGATTCATGGCATATTCGAACTGACCTCTGACCTTACCAAAGAACACACAGGTATGATTCATCTGAATCACCCACACATGGTAAAAGAATAGAAGCAAGTATCGCATTATCTCCGCTTAGCTTATCAGTTTTTACATCTTTTCCCTAGTAGAGAAAGTATACGAATAACGTTCATTTGCTGAAACTAAACACAAAATTTACCTCCTCCCTTCCACAAATGCATTTGCACCATATTAATAGTCATGCTCTCGTAAAATAAAAAGTGGGACTCGACATGTACGAACTAAGTAACTCGCACTAGAACGAACCACCGTCTGATAAGGAAGTACATGAACTTATGACGCACACGTACAGACACTACCCACCGTCGCTGGCAGAGCGTCAAAAATTGCCTTCAATTCAGATCACCACATAACATACCAAATTTATGTATAATCATCCAAAGAAACACTTGATTTAATAAACAAGTAATTACTACTGAATGCGCATATACTTGCCAGTACATAGACAATATTGTATCATCTGTAAACAGTGAAGCAAGTATGCACTAATTCATTGAATATTTTGGAAGATGTTGACCTGATTCTAAAGCAGTGGATTAAAAGAATAGCTTTGTACTGCATCAGTTCTTCTCTCACAAAAACAAGCAATCTTAAGGCATATACAATCTGATTGTTCCTTTTTCAGATAGAGTAAACCACCTTAATGTGTACTCTAAAAGCCAGCATTCTAAGTACATTTGTATTCCAGCTATCAGTTAAAATCACCAGTACTTATCGAGCATACATACTAATAAAACGCTTACACCATCTATCCACCAAATTATATTTATCTGTTACATTAAAACACCACCTCTATCAGTTCAATTCTTCTATTACAAATCATTAAATCCAATATAAAGATCGAAAAACAAGCACAACCACAGGTTTCACAAATTGAGCACGTTGAAAATAGAAACCATCTGAACTTATCACATTAATAAGACACTTGAATACACTACAAGGAGGATCACATCAACACTTCTAAAGAAAGTACCTTCATCATTTTAAAACAGCCTCTTTCCTCCGGTTTTCTGGAATAATAAAATGGTCTAAAGCGAATAATGATGTACTGAATTATTGGTGATCCTTCTTTATACAAATAACTTTTTTGTCTCAAAGGAAAAAAAAATTGTCCAGTCTAGACAGACGAAGGCATATACCGTAATCCACTTCACTTCCCCACAAAAGCGTGACGGCAACAAATCGATTGAAATATATACAGTTATTTCTTTTAAAGTGCATACCCGATTTCTGATATAGTAAAAACTGAAACCAAAAAAAATAAAATGGTATCATTCAGTCACGCTGTATGCCTATGATAAAGTCTGTACCAGACAAATAATTCGTGGAAAAAGCTGCGCATGAAAATTATGTTGCTCAAAGCTATTTAAATATATATCTATATAATATCTTAACGTATGGTCTCATGAGAACTGCACCACATCAAAATAGCATTACAAAAAAAGTAAAAAAATTATAGGAAATTCAAGAAATTCAAAAGTTTGAAGTAAAAAATGACAAAATAGAAGAAAGTAAATGAAAAAATTCCACTATTCAACTTTTGAGAAAACAGAAAACGTGCATTTTCAACAAATATTAGCCTACTTTACACAGCAGTACTATTGATTAAAATATTGATTCAGACAGTGAAAAAGTCAATCACGAAATTAAAATAGACACAATACAGTACCACTTACCCATCCATACAAGGAATCTAACATATTGCACAACAACATGCTTTCTTCTGATGTCTTCTAATGGCTTCGGGAAAATCTGGATTTCTTATGCTGTATGTTGATGCTGCAGATAACATCGGATCACAACCACTACCGATGTTTCCACCATTCTGTAGCATTGATAATTCTCTTTCATTAGAACTGGCTGAAAAAATTTATTTTTTAAAAGGGAAAAAAAGTAAATAAACATGGGAAAAATTAATTGGTTAAAACAGTAACCAAATTCATACAAAATTTAATTCTTTTAAGGAAAAGAATTCAATTTTCTTTAGAAATTTAGGGCACCTAAAATTTTCATGCAAAATGTACTGATTATTTCACCGTCTGCGCTGCTTACAGAATCTGATTTATTCTATTAAACTTAAAATCTTTACTTCAATAAGTTTGGTGCAGATACTGGTAATACAAAAAAGGTAAAAGTGAGCGTCAGAAACACTACTTTCTACACAAAACTATAACTATCAACTCACAAACAAAATGGAAAAACTATGTATGTGAAAACGAAAAATTAGCCATTCAAATTTAACCTGCTTCTTCTTCACTTTTCTTTTTCTTCTTTTTCTTCTGACTACTTCTGGCCCGTACACCTCTTTGCAACTGTCCTCCTGCTTCATCATCATCTTCCACACAGCCATTTTCCTTATCCAGTTTTCGTAGCCATTCATCTGGTGACATTGGTTTCGCCTTCTGTGATGATGGCTTGATAACCTTCCAAAAACATTAATTAATTTTGGCAAAAGAAATACTGAGACCAAGATGTACCAAGTTATCAAAAAAAAATCTTTTCTGGAAGATATTTCAACTGATTCATTTCATAAAAATTTTTTTCAAAATAATGGATGAAATATCTTCCAGAGAGAATTTTTTTCATTTCAATTTAAGGAACCACGAAACTGATATCATAACTACCAACATCCGATCATTTGAAGCAAGTAATGTTTCTAAGTAGACATTTCGTTTCTCATTACAAAAGAATGAGCAAGATAAAATAATAGCACTAAGATATGAACTATCCCTAATTTTGTTATGAAATGCTAAAATAATGGAATTTAAGTACAAATAAAAATTAAGATTTCATATCGGAAATGTTAAGTTGAAAATAGTTCTTAGTACTTGAGTAGATGAAAAGACTTGAATTGGTGCATCAAAATGATTTACAACCATTTTTGTGAATTAAAATATGGGGCATATTTACTTTTTTACTTGGACTATCGCGTCGGCGATTTTCAAATTGTCCAACAGCATGACTGGTAGGCTCCAGACCTCCTTGTCCACTTGTAGCACAATTACTGGCAGAATTACTATCATCCTACAAACTTCCTTATGCAATTGGAAATTTCAAGAGATCAACACAATGTTCTTTACGACTACCTTTCCGAGCGAAACATCTTCTTTACTCCACGACCGCAATAAATCTGTTTGCTCTTTTTGAGCTTCCATTCTCGCCAAAGTCATTCCGGAACGATCTCTAAGTGAGAGTCGACGAATAGCACCTCGAGCAGAAAAAGGATTGTCCACATTAGCTGTACACTGCTGCGGAGATTCGAACTTTTTTCTTCTGAAATGAGTTTTTAAGTGGCTTACGTCAATCTTCTTTCGATAGTATTTATCATTGCAAAAAATGTAGAATCGAGTAAATAATCAAGCAAAATACGATATAAATAAGAAAATTGAATGATTAGTTATTTCGCCTCGAACTATTCCAATTAGTTCTAGGTGAGATATGAATGTTAGTACTTGGCGCAAATGACTAACTAATGACAGTGTCGCTTTCATAAATGCCAAAACACATTTTTCAACTTACCTTCTTATAGAAAGGCAAAAATTATATGACAGATTTTTATACAAATTAAATAAAAGGTTAAATATTATTACTTTCTTGACTGTCTTCGGCTATCGCGAACACCGAATGCCAAGCGTTTCTTCCTTGCTTCCTGTTGCTGAACTGTGACAATGACCGCCCGTGTCGTCGTGTCCTCACAAAGATCTACAAGTCTTATCACGACAAATATTAGATTCTATGTCATGTAAATGATACATTAGGAAAAAATTAATGCATCAAAATCGAGTAATTGATGACTTCTTACCCAAAGCTGTTTCGCCATTATTTGTCTTTGCATTGATATCTCCACCATACTCGCAAAGAAGTTCTATAAGATCAGGTTGAGCCCAGCAGGCTGCTGCATGAACTGGCATCCAAAGGTCATTATCCCTTACCGACGGAGATACACCACATCTTAGTAAAAACGCTGCCACATCATAGTAACCATTAGCTGCTGCTATGTGGAGCTGAAAAAAGTGTGGAAATACAATTCTTTGCTTCTTTCATAAACTGCTTTTTTACACTAAAATTTAAATTATTCATAATTATATAAAATATCATAATTTAATCTACCCAAATGCACTTTTTCAGATATATAAAGAGAAGCCAATTGCCAAAAAAGACGCTATAATTTACATATGTGCTTCCATCCGTTTGTCTTGTATCCAACGGATGTCCTTCTTGCCGTAATAATTTCATTTCATCCAGCATTTGTTTTTCAGCTGCGCCACGTTGCTCATCTTGAAGAAAATAAAATTTTAGTCGCAAAAAAAATTTTTTCAGAAGTCTCATATGCAGAATTAAAATTGTAAAGACATGACAATATTATAATTTTATTTCATCAAGAAATGGAGCAAAAGTGAAAAATTAAGGTTAACCAATATATGCTTGTGTTACACCACGTGAAGCCATTTCAGATTCGATAACATCTAATGTCGCCTCATCATCACAAATATCATATGGCATATTGCCATCTGCATTTACGGCAAGCAAATCAGCGCCACTAAAAGGAAAAGATATAATTTTGCCTTTATGAAAAGTCAATAAATGCCTGCATACATACTTCAAGCCAGTAAATCCCTTACTGATAATACTACAGAACTTTAAAACTACAAATTCACAAATACAGTTGGAATTTAAACTTATCTAAATAAAAATGCGGAAATTATAAATGCTAATCAAAAGTTACTCATTTTTCGATGAAAAAATGGAAAATATATGATGGATTTACAATAATAATAGAAAAACAGCAACATGAATCTTAACAAGAAGCTTAATTTTCCCACATATGTTATTATAAATCAACAAAACTGAAAATTTTGATCCAACACGTCATGATAGAACTTTAAAAATGAAGTCTCTGAAAACTTACAAAATAACATATGCGAGATAAAATTTAGATACGATGTAGATGAAAGAAATGCTAACTTGTCAATAAGAAGACGAACAATATCTATATAAGCACAACAAGCAGCTGCATGTAACGGTGTCCACTGCTCTGTATCTTGCGCATTAACATCAGCTCCATTCCTTAGTAATAATTGCAGAATTTGCTCATTATTATCGATAGCACACTGAAATTTGTTAGTCTTTATTCACATTTTCAAAAGGAAAAGCCGAAGTTATTAGAAAACTAGTGATTCAATTTTTGATATAAATTTAGTTGACATACTTCGCTTAAAGCATGAAAACAATACACAAAAATCATAGATGAAAACTGAATTATTTAGTATAAGTGAAAGTATTCTTTCTAATACAATTTTCTATTCTTCGTTACAAATTTAAGCGCCATACAAATTTATAATACAAAGGACACAAACGAATCTACAATAAAGCCAACTTGATGTAATGGAGTTAAACCATCTTCGTTGTGTGAGTTTGGATTCGCTCCTTCCAAAAGTAAACGTTCAACTAAAATTTTAATAAGTGAGACACTTAAATTTGAAAATATGATTTGTCAACAAAGATTTGTGTTATATTTTTCATATCTTTTCTTTAGGAAATAATTTCAAATGGAAATTGAATTACCTTCAGTGGTATCTCCTCTACTAGTTGCTTCTAATAATGCAACTTCTGGACTGAATTTAAGACGCTGTCGACGAGGTGGAGTAGGCGTCATTTGCTTTTCCCGATCATCCCAATTACGTAACTGTATTCTTCTTCTCTCACTGAAAGAATGGAGGAACACAAATTAAAAAATTTAGAAGCAAATATCAAAGTTAACTCATTGATTAGTTAAGACAAGCGATATTGTTGACCATAAAATCATTTGGCTGTAGTCTGTCAATACAAGTCGTTTAATGGAGTCATGTTGCAAGATTCAAACAACATTATGACATTAAATTACTGGTGTTGCTGTAACATAAGTAAAATAAAGATAACTCAAACATAAAAAATATAGACTTCAGTGATAGAAAGAAAGCATTCTAATATTAAATGAAGATTTTTTTTAAATGAAACTCACCGTGCCAGAGCGATTCGCTCGGCTGGTGTCATTTTTTCGATCTCAGATAGCTCTGCTACTAAATCTGCATGATCCATCGCTTCCAGATTATATCTTATCTATAGCAATCAAAAAAGCATTTTTTTAGCAAAGGTAGATCAGTAAACGAAAAAGCAGATGTGCTTTTCCAATAAGGTCTAAGCTTTTTTCAAACTCTATAAAGGAACTTTATAATTTACACATGCAGACCAAGACTAAATGAAAAAAAATCAAACTGAAAGACGAATTTGAAGAAAAAAAAATAACAAGTGAGAAAATTTATATTTCGAGTGTGAACAGTTACCTGTTACACAGAAATTTTGAAAGTTTGGCAAAAAAATTGAATCAGCACACTATCCCATTCCCAGACTTAGCAATAAAATTATTCCTGATGCAAAAAATTTCCGGATGTGTTTTTCTCAGGAACTTTTCTGTATCGCAACCGCATATAAACATCAACAACACAAGCATCATAAATTATTGTTAGTGTATAAATTATGATATTATCATCACTGCAATACTTTTGTATAGAATCAATGTAATGACAATGGAATAGAAAAATGTGTAGTAAAAATACCTGAAAAGTGGAGTTGAACGTAGTACAAGAGTTGGGTTATTGGCTTGCAAAGCAATGTTTTTAATTAGATCAGCGAAAAATGAATGATATGATCGAGATTATGATGAGATAAAAATTGCAACAAAGCAGTCAGTTATTCAAATATTGGACTAATGAAATACAGAATGAATAGAATATCAAAGACTGCTGCCATGAAGGTACACAATAATAGTTTGTTGTATCATCTTGAACCAAGTAACAAGTAGAATGCGCTCAAGAAACTTGCTGGCAAATTTTGCAGAATGGTGAATTCAAGATATCATCGATATACGAAGGCTTCTCACTACATTTGCAATTTAAACAGATTTATTCAGCTGGCTTCCAAATAAGACGAATTTCGGTGTCTGAAGTCTTTACAATTAATTCTTGTTTCATTAATCGGAAAAAACACATCACTAAGAATACCGGCTGCAAAAGAATTACAGCAATTACGAAAAACAATTTTACCATGTATCAGCTTCTTAACTTTACAAACTTTGCAGAGAAGTTTTAAATCAGCATGATAGCCCGTCTTGCTCCACTTTCGACGTGCTTTGAACACTTTTATTTTTAACAATTAATTAATCAGTTACTACAGCACATGGAAAATGATGGTACGCATGGTATAAGCACATGAAGAATGATGGTGTACATGCAAAAAGATCAAGAATGGCCTCTGTAGAGAGCAGTCAGTTCAACACGTCAGAAACATGCATGATAACGTAATACAAGCTGCAAGCCGTAAAAGTCCATAAAAAGCTCGCAAAATTCAATATATTTGTTAAAATTCTTCTGATTTTGGGCTTTGCAAGCACATTATAATCAACCATCTATTCGCCATACTACAATTCAAAGTGGTAATAACTCACTTTTACAGAAAATTAAATGTTGACAGAGTTCTCAAGTCTTGTACAATGAATCATTAAGTTGATTCATGCATAAACTATGTAGGATGTGCTATTAGACTGATCACGTACTGATTTCATTGACTTTAGCTACATCAATATGAAATGAATTTGTGTCATATTTAAAGCTGCATTTACTATGCTACTGTAGAACTCAGGTCACTACAATGGCGATCTTGACCTTAATATCGACCTTTTATAAGAATGCTCTCGTACGGTGATGGAATTGCATTGAATTCCGAAAAAAGAATGTGCAGTAAGCAGCTCCGTTATTCATACAATTACGTACACATATATACCTTAGTAACACTGAATTCTAAACCTGCGAAAGACTCTGACTTGATCTTGCTTATCGATACTTCGCTTCCACGTATGTACAGGCCTCATACAATACAGCACGATATTGCGCAAGCGTGTGATATTGGCGCTTTCTCTCAGCACAATCATTACCGCTTTTCATTCAAAGCAATGCAAAAAAGAAGCTATGATGACAATCCTGCATAAGCCAATGTGCGCCAACACGGAAATCATTTGCGCAATAAAAGGTAAACTTGGGGCGCATTTTCACAAATGACTGTATCAAACAGTGCTCAACTACGTGTCTCTTTTCAAGTGAAGAATAAAAGATGAAAAAGTGACTAAATTTTAGCAACAAAAGAGAGTTTAAAAAACTGATAACTGAAATAAAAAATAAAAACGGTAATGAGAAGTTAAAATGTCATTAGCCAGTGCGCTTTTGTTATTACACTTACTCTTTGCTCACTCTCTAAATTAAATAGTAGTATAATGTATGAAAAGCACGTATGTACGTTAAATAAGTACGTCATATGCTTGTGTACATTATAAATGGTAACTTTCATACTCATCTAAATCATGTGTGAGTCAAATTTACAAATTAATACAACACGACTTACAGTAAAAGTAAACGTGTATTTCACACCTATTCATTTTTTCTATTTCTGAAATAAAACAAATATTGTTTTGTTAAACACATAAACAATTCTTAGTTGTCTTCTCTACTACAGCACTTATTTCACGCAAAAAAGTAGGAGCTTAGCAACGAATACACTGCACAATACGACTTGCCCCCACCGCCAAGATTTATTGCTTGACTATATAAAAACAGTAAAATTATCAATTGCTAATAATTAAAAGTTAGAATTGTAAGACTAAACTTCTTTGCCTACTAATCTCACCCATCCAAAATGAGAACATATTATTATACGATGGTTTCAACAACGCATCTTGCCTAATCTCATTCACAGTATGATCTTGATTGTAGAAATGAAAGTCATCTCGAGATAAATAATTACAAATTTCAGAACGTTTATATATTTTTAAGTGATTAATTGAAACAGCAATACCTTTTCATATCACTAACTGAAGTAGAATAAGAGCAACAACACCAGACAGGCATGAAACCTGCAAGCATTAATTCACGAATCTGAGGAGAAGAATTCATTTCAAACATTTTTATGAATATTTCAGAAGCAACAAAACAGATTACTCCTTTCATTGTTGTACATGCTTAGCTTAAGAAAAAACATTATCCCATTTCACAGCGTACTTCACTTAATTTGCATAGAATTGTCAACAATTTGTTTATTTCGATTTATTAAAATAATTATTTAACATATAAAGTTGACATATTCTAGAACTATAAGTCAGGTATTTGTATTTTCCATGCCTTCTATGAGTGATGTAATTTACATATTAACAAGAATTTCACACATGCACTAACTAGTTAGGGGCAATCAGTGTAATAGTGAGATATATGGACAAAGCTTATAGAACCTCACAATATACTAGAAAGAACTTAAAGACGACCTTTTTCGTAAAATGAACAAGTAATTGATCATTTACCATGTAAAAATGGTGCTGTACAATCATAAATTAAATTTAACGAAACTTGTGCGGTCCTTTATGTGAAATTTTTCGTCTACATGAAGTGATGTCATAACAAATCCATATTTTTATAACAAAAAGTATGATTGTTTTTGGTTATTTTCAGTAAATAAAGTGGAGATGCATATTTTTATGGAAGAAAGAAGCATGCTGATAAACATACTTACTTATCATACCAAAACATTTCATGCTTTTTACGATTACACCCTTAACTAAGAGGCTTTGGTAGAATAAAATTGCAATCAAATGCCTTAATTAGCTCTGATCTTTTCTATTTCATTTGTGTCAGTAATTTACTATTTTTACGTTTAAATTTCAAATGAGAGAATGTTTACAATTTTTGGTATATATTGTGCTACAGTTTCGCTGTTTGTGCAGTTTCTTGTTGAAGAAATTCAAGCAATAGCAGTATGCTAAGAAACAATTCACAAAATGATGGCAGATTGCTTTAGCGTGTGAAATGTATTACAAATTCGTCCTATCTAAAAATCTAAGAAACTTACGAGAGTGTGTTTTTCTCTTACATCAAAAAAATTTAGTTGTTAAATTATTTGGCTAATCATTTTCAATCAATAATACTTTTTGTTTTTATCTGACTAAAAGATAATTAACAATTAACGGAGTTTAAAATACAAATTATATTAGCTGATTTTGCCTCGCAAATTTTTTAATTAAGAGTTCAGAATTCAGTTTTGTTCTGCATCAAATATAAATTTGACTTAAATATGCGTGATTATGAATCAGTGCTCGTTGACAGACTACATTACGGCGCAAACCACAATATTCACGTGTTACCATCTAGTATCAGCTGAAGAAATAGCAATCTGTGCAGAGATTTCTTTCTTTTAATAATTATAAAGACAGCTGCAGAAAAGTGATCGCAATCACCGCTATGAATCATTATTTCTATGCATCGATTTCAAATAAAAACAAGAAAATTACAAATTTTTCACACTGCGAGAAGTACTGACATGCGCGCAGTGCACTCTACTTCTTGTCTTCTGTTTTTATTCTCGCTGAGTGAGCATAAAAACTGATCTGATCTTCTGATTTTTCTAGATACGAAGAAAGCTATTTTAATCATTTTGCTCCTAAAATGAGCACAAAAAATTATTATTGATTTATTTTTGCTCTATGATATTGTTGTAGTACAAAATTGGTATTTGAGATAATTATGAATAGTGCTAGTTCTAAAACTAGTAGAATCTATTAAATATATATATATATATATATATATATATATATATATATATAT